TCGGGGACGGGGCTCCCAGGAATCGGGGAACCTAGAAAATCTCGAGGGGCATCGGGTTTTCCTTTCGCCAGAGTCGCCGTATCCAAAGTCACCTTCAAATCCGTCAACCGGATGCTGATCCATGTTGGCTGCGCGAACGACGGGGGGTGTAAGGAGAACCCGAGTCCACGTATTTCGATTTGCAGGCCTTCTCTCGGGGCATATGCGATGCGGCGGAGCGAAAAGTAACCGATCCGTTGGATAGATATTCCGGTGGCAATGCGGACGATCGCGAAGACGAAGAAGGACGAGAGGTAGAGCAGCAGGAAGCCCACGAGGATCGAGGTCGGGTTGAAGAGGGTCATCGCGAATCGCGATCAGCAGGGGCTGATCCGTCGAACAGAGACACAGCGCAGCACAAAGAACATTGAGTGAATTGATGGTGGTTGTTTTTCAATTGCGTCGATTAATGCTGGATAGCTGCCGAGATCCTCCACTTGGGAAAGGTGTCGTGGTTTTTTTTTGGTTGAGGGGTGAGATTGAAGTAAATGTGTAGCGTGTTCAACTTCGCGCCGAGACCAAAAAGTCGGGGAGAAAGCTCCAAAGTGTTTCAGTAACACGAACACCACGCCCCGTGGATCATAATGGAGCTGTAGAATGACAAGTATGGTTCGGACGCGCCGGAGAAAGCCAGAACCATTAAGCGGAGCGGTAATCTGCCAATTTGCCCAAACCGGCTTTCTCGGCATTCGTTCTGGACCTTCTACGTTTAACTCCGTCTAGGCCCCCCTCCTATATATTCCGATTTCCTCCACAGCTCTTTACTCAAATATTACTTGTCTTTGCGTAAAAGAAACTCAACTTGGCGCGTGGTCCTGTACCATGATTTCACTTCGCAGCCGTGGGGCTTTCCTTGATGACTTGCGATCGGCGTTCCCTGATTCGATCCCCCTTTTGACGGGTTGAAAGTGGATTCAATAGAAGAAAAATAGAAGGAAAAATACAATGGCTGCATCCTTGGAACAAACTATAATACAATTATACATACAATTATCTACCCATTAGGCCAGCTCTCCTTACAACCTGGCCCGTAAAATCACAGACACACGACACCTTGCAAACTGCGCATGTGCCCCAAAATGTCAAGATAGTGCAAAACGTCTGTGCACTGCTGACGTCGAACCCCCAACATTACCTAAATCGTCGACAGGCAGACTAGGAGCCGCAGTGTGCAGGATGGAGGGGCTATTTTTCAGCGGCAGAGCTAGCCGGTCGAGTCTTTTCAAGATCCTCAATCTTTTCGTCGAGGAGCGCAATCTCAGCCTCGATACCCAGTAGTTTCTCGCTAAGAATACCACGGTATTCATCATCGGACAAGTTCCGGAGAGGGATCCATTTGCTATCAGCCATACGCTGAACAAATGGTTTAGCATTGGAAGGGTTCTGTGCCCTTTCCACTTGCCATGCATCAACTCTATTGAAGGCGGTTTGACCACCGAAGCCAAGCAATGAGAACACAACAAGGCCAGGGATTAGCCGGCCGCCTGGAAAATGAAAAGACTCAAGTTAGCGATCGCATTATGCGACTGAACTGGAGGGAGCAGAACTACCCATGAGCCTAGTAACAAGTCCGCCAGATATTCCTCCAGATAGGGCGCTCACATATGCGCGTTCTTTTGGGGATGCTTGGTCTTGGAAGTGAAGCTTGATGATATTGCTTCGCAACCCTGAACATAAAAGATTAATGGTTGGCCAAACAGTGGACGGAGCATGGACATACACCAAAAGGTTGAACCACAAGCAAACCAGTGGATACCGCAGGAAAGTGAATGGATCACTGGGTTGGGAGATTTAATGACTCCTGCTGCCCCTCCATAGATCAAACCGGCAGTGCCTACCCAGAGAAACAGATAAGCACAAGTACAATGGGATACCGGGTGTTACTGGATCCCGACGGACCCAGCACAAGGTCAAGACTAACCGCTCAAGGCGCCCACTTTGACTGCCGCCAGCAGGGGGTCAGACGCAAAGCTGTCATTTGGACGATTGTCCCCGCTCATGTTGCGAACGGACTGGACAAAGGTACAAGCATTCCTGTGCTATTCGGCAACAAGATCGACTTCGTCCCCAGCGCTGGAAAATATTGTGTCACGTGTGGGTTATGTAAGTGTGGATCTAGGCCAGTGACAATGGTTTGCGATCAATTGTTATTCTGGTGCGAGATCATCGAAGGGGAAAGCCTCTTAGTACTTCTTTCGCTGTATAAAATATACTCTCAGAGGCTTAATCTTTCCAAGGTTCTAAGGTTGGGTTTTTTTGTTGGTTGAGGTCGAGGCTGATTGTGATTGTAAGCCAATGGGTCAAGAAATATATTTTAAAGTGCCTCATGCACCTATACACATTCTGGGACTTCCTGATTCATACATGGATGCAAGAAAGTGAATATGGAGCAATGCATTTATTTTCATTGGAATTCACCACCTACGCAAATGTATAGTCTTGATTGGGGTAGAAGTCGAGTCAATGAGGTAACTTTTTTGTTTTACATGTGAATGCCTTATTAACAAGGCATTATTATACTGGACCTTTAATTGGCTCATATTGTATACCCCACCTACCCCACCGCGTTTCTCCATATGTTGATAGACCTCGTTCTTCCGATCCGCAATAGTATCGTTGACCTGACAATGCATTGTCTATCCACCTGTCGGAATCTTGGAAGGTTATGTAGCCATTAACTGTCTACTTTTATGATGATGATACACATTCGGTCCAAACGTGAATGATCTTTCGTTCCGTGGGCCGCAGAGCTTTTTAACTCTGTTTTACGAGGCTGATCCACAAGACTGATTTATAGTTAAAAAAGCTATTCTTATGCCCTTTATGCTGGATGGATATGAAATGTCAATATCTCCTTCAAATCTGGTCTGGTACTTATGCTATAAGGTCCTGGGACGCCGTGAGGATCCAATCGTAGGGGCAGTAGCTACATTCGCGTGTATTGGGACATGCCCAATATGTGTGTTTATGCATTTGAGAAGCCGCCGAAGATGCAAGATATGAATTTTAGTAGACAGAAAGACCAGAGCGCTAAGCAAAGGGGTATCAGGTCTCCTTTCAGGCGTTTTAAGCTTAAATATCATTTTCTGGAGTGAAGTCGAATATCCACCACATAAGATATCCTGATTGTATACTTGTGACGTGTGTGAAAATAGATTTCAGCATTGGGGGTTTGTTAGTCTGCTGGCGCTGGAGGTGGAAGAGCTTGTTCCTCTGGCACATGCTACTTCTGGCAAGGGATGATTGGAAAGCGAGGAAAGGCAGGGGGAAACTACCAGTGCCAACTCGAAGAGCCTGGTTTGGGATGTTAGATGATGAGGCGGATGGGCTAGATGTATGGACAGCAGTAGGGAAATCTATTTGATTTGCTGGATTTGAGGGCTGTAGAGTGAGATGCTTACTTCACTGGTTTCATTATTATTGTCTTCCTCTATGGCTCCGTTCTTTCATCGCGTGCATCCTTTCTTCCGAACAGCCTTGGAGCCTTGCTGCATCTTATAGCATGCGTTTTGAGCTCAAATTCCATTATAGCCAATCATGGATTGATCAACTTCTGATCAAGAACCCATGCCCGTCAGCCCCCCAGCATTGCAGATAAGAGGTCACTCCAGTCTTCATCCATTACTTACCACTGTAAGCAGAAACGCTCCCTCACCAATGTTATATAGCCCGCTGTACCCCAGTATATAGTTGTGGTTACTCTAGTTTACAATTATCATTCTTCTACGCAATTCACCATGCGTGAGCACCTTTCTTTCATCCTGACTGGCCAAGGTAAACATTCTCTCCACCGGAGGCTCATCTTTCTTTGTGAGCTACGAGTTGGGTCTAGCATGTCGGAGAGCCTCTACCGCCCCTGAATTGGCTTCGGTCCTAGTCGAAAAACGGCCATAGAGACGTGAGTTTGCATTTCATGAATGCGCAAAGAGGACATCTTCGCGTGAACCACCATCAACATATCCAAAAAGGGGCCCTTCTATCTAGTGCCATTCTCGAATAAAGCCTTCTCGCTGTTAATCAATCTAACTTCCTTCATCACCACAAAGTTCTTTCCAGCAATGTCCAAGAGTGACACCAGGAAATTGTGACATTCAGACAAATCTGTAATCGGCGATCGTAAAGGTATTGTAGATTTCTGGAACAGGGGCTGATGTGCTTTGCCTCAGATAATAGAGAGCTTTCGCTGATCCCGACCGCTCTATAGAAAGTGTAGGGATACCAGGGTCACTAGCAGAGTGGAGAGGCTGAGGCGCTTATAGTATCCGGTGATTGTAATGTTTGTCATGTTTGCATATGACGGTCGACTTGTATGACAAAACAGGTACCATTTCCTTCTCTTAAGGGTAGTGACTTCCTATGTACCCTAGTAGGCGTGCTGGGGCTAGGATACTATTGAAGGGGCGCAATTAGTTGGCGCGTCTGTGGCTTCCTGTGATTGCCCACTAAATTCAACACCAACTTCACAATGGTATAACCATTGGGTTGTCGATCCGTCAGGCGGCTTTTCTAGACTGTGGGCATTCGGGGTTTTCCAAGTTTGTAAAATCTACACCGTATATTAGTTGGCTTACAGACGAGAGATATCTAAATACATTTTGAAATTAATTTCAATCTCGATTGTTTGATCATTAAAAGCTTTAGTCGGGGTTTTTCTTTGTAGAACCGGTAGTCTGGCGGCTCTGATTGGACTAGCGGCACCACTTAAAAATTATCACGGATTAACTAACCCGTCCACTTCCATCGTGCTCGATTGCCGACTTCCCCTCTAACCAACTTTTCGTGAAGTGTGTTTCTGCTGACCTAGAAATTCACGACCATCTGTCCTATTTCGCTTCCTTTGATCGGCTCCCGGAATTCCGCTCGGGTGTCTTTTAGATTTTTTCTTACCATTTCCCCGCCTCTAACCCTACTGTGTGAAGCGCGCACAAGTCTGCTGGCGCGCTAATCTCTAAACCGCAATCATGGGTATGTAGTGATCGCCCTATTACTCCCATTCACGACTTTCAATCTAAGAGCAGAATGTCTCTGTTGATCGAGTGATCCGTGGTGATCGAACCCCCGCTAACGAGTCTTCTCCACTAGCGCCCGCAAAACAGAAGGGTCAGAAGATGACCATCAGCAACTTTTTGGCTGACGAGAGTGAGTGTTAGGAAGGTTTATAGGGAAAGCAATTCTCATACTAACGGGCCATAGGCCTTGGCTCTTGGGCTGATGAGATGGAGGACATGCCCCTCCCATGTAAGTCGCTGACCTCCCCGCTATGTTGTATTCACACGGTTACTAACAATAATTGTAGCCGGTATGTCGCCCGATCCTCTATACGCCTACGAACTACCTCAAACGGTATACTGACTTACAATAGGACCCTCTGCATCCTCTGGCTTTGGTAGCCGCCCTGCTGGTGGCATGGGTTTCGGCGGAAACAGCTATGGCGGTGGCAGTGGTTTCGGTATGCCGCATATAATGAGAAAGCAAGATGTATCGGATCTGACATATGCAATATAGAACGTGAGACCCGTGGAGGATACGCCGTTCGCGAGCCGCTCGCTCTTCCCACCGAGCCCCCTTACACTGCCCACGTTGGCAACCTCTCATTTGAGGCGACCGCCGATGATATCTCCGACCTTTTCGCCGGCTGCAGCGTGACCAACGTCCGCATCGTTGAGGACAAGCTTACCAAGGCCCCTAAGGGCTTTGGATATGTTGAGTTTGAGACCCTGGATGGCCTCCAGAAGGCCTTGGATCTGTCTGGCACCACCCTGCAGGGTCGTACCATTCGCACCAGCGTTGCTGAGCCTCGTAAGTACTCCAGCAACATAAGCTATGTATCACGGCTAATCGATCATTTATAGCCAAGGAATCCCGCCCTGAGGGACGTGATCTTGACTGGACCCGCCGTGGGCCCCTTCCTGCTGCTCCTGAGCGCCGTATTCCCGAGCGCTCCAGCTTTGGCCGTGGCATGGATGCCGGATCCGATGCCGGCAGCGAGCGCGGTGGCCGTCGCAACAACTTCGAGTCGGATGGAAAGTTCCGTGATTTCGGCAACTGGGAGCGCAAGGGCCCCCTTTCGCCCCCCGCTGGCCCCCCGGCCCGTGAAGGTGGTCGCACTCACAGCAATGAAGGACCTGGCTCTGCCTACCGGAGGAGCTCCCCCGCATGGGGTGAGGGTCAGGGTCGCTCTCAGGATGAGGGCTCGCGCCCCCCTCGTCCCGAGCGGACCCCTACCGCTGCCGATATGGACAACCAGTGGCGCTCCAAGATGCGCCCCGATCAGCCCAAGGAGGCTGGCGCCCCCACATCGCCCACTGCCCCTGCCGCTCGTCCCAAGTTGAACCTGGCCAAGCGTACCGTTCCCGACGCTGCAACCACCGCCGCCTCGACCACTGGTGACTCCAAGGCCAGCCCCTTCGGTGCTGCCCGCCCTATTGACACTGCCGCCCGTGAGCGTGAGGTTGAGGAGAAGCGCCAGCAGGCTCTGCGCCAGAAGAAGGAAGCCGACGAGAAGGCCCGCGCTGAGAAGGCTGAGAAGGCCGAGAAGGCCGAAAAGGTCGAGAAGCCCAAGCAGGCCAAGGACAGCCGCGTTGTCGGCACTGATACCAACAAGGATGATGTGGATACCCCCAAGGGCGGGGCTAACTTTGAGATCCTCCGGCGGGCCGGTGGGGAGGAGAGCGGTATGAACGCTGATGCGGACGCCGAGGAGGCCTCTGCTCCTGCTGATGCCGCGGAGGCCAAGCAGTCCACTGCCAACGGCAACTGGAGGACTGCTGAGCCTACTGACGAAAACGACGGCTGGAGCACTGTCAGCACAAACAAGCGCAGCAACCGTCGCGGTGGTGGTCGTGGATTCTGATAATTTTATCGATACCCCCGAAGCAACCTCCGCTTACCTCCAAATTGTCGCCCCGGGTGTGCAAATGAACCCATGACCCATTTTGATGATCCTTACCAGCGTCCCTTCCAGACCATGCTGTCTAGAAGGACCTCCAAGGCCATTTGGCCTTGATGTCGCTCCGTGAGCATGCTTTTTCTTTTGGTCTATTTCACTGCACATCGTGCAACAGACGGTAGTTGTTTTGTCTCCTCTTTCCCCTCCACCTGTTCCCTCCTCATTTTGTCCTTGGTTCATGATCTTCCCTTTCTTCTCAGGCTAGATTCTCGATACACATCTAGTCTTCGCTCTGATGATTTGGCAGTCTGAAAAGTTTATTTTCCTACGTTGTTTTTACTTGTGTCTCGTATGTGTTCGCTATCTAGCTATTATTCCCATGCGTGTGACTCGTGTGATTTGCCCATGACCATTACAGCCGATGCGAAATGAAGATTACCCGGTTTCCTTTTACCTTGTCTTACCTCCAAATGACCCTAGGTGGTTCTGTTATGTCCCTTGTCCTGTCCAAGATCAGAGGATTTGTTTGGATTGGAGTTGGAGTCCATCTTCTACCACACACCCTCTATTTCCAAACTTGACGTGCTATGTGATTACGAACGACTCTACGAGAGACGAAGTAGTCGCTATGAGCATACCCATAACCTTACCCTCGAGCTTCGATGACAATGAATCTCCGATAATCTTCCCGGTCTTCCTCTCATGTCTACTCTGAGCTTCGATTCATATCCTTTCCACTTACAAGGCCTCATCTACCCATCTGGTCATCTCATATCTTTGCACGTGCTGATTGCGATGTCAAGTCCCCAATTCCGTATAGATTGAAATTCAAGTCTTCATTGACAAGTTCTTCCATCTGTAGAGCCCCGATGGGGTAACTATACGTATACTGTACCCCAGTATGGGGTACATGTCCTACGCTTTAAAGAGAGTGGAGCCCCAACAGCACTAGATCAACCACACAGAACACTTGTTGCCCTAAATTGTGGACCATCGGTATTATTGAATCGAATTTTTCAATTTTGTTTCATTGATGTGACAGCCTTGGAATACACTACTGAACCTTAGGACTCCTCCCCGCGCCAACTTTTTCCCAGTGGGTATAAGCGCCCAAGGGATAAAGAAGCCATTGGTCCGTTTGTTTTTCGGTCACAGTAAGGGCGATATAATTAGGACACCACTAGCCTCACCAGGGGTAATTTCCCCCCTTTTCTGCAGAGTTGATTAGGAGAGTAGGCACTTCATGTGAAATGTTACCTAAATTGACCAGCCACGAGGGAGGTTGGTGCATGTGGTCATTGACATGGGGGCGGGGACGGCTCTCCAGTACACAACTATGTCATCGAGATAAGGCACAATCAAATAGATCATAGATCATAAATCACAGATCTATCTGCAGGGGAAAAGATTTATATTGATTCACTGATTCATTTTATATCTTAAATAAGAACAACGTCCCTGGAAACACACCCTGAGACACGGCCCAATGAATGTGAAATAAAAAGCCGGTGGCGCAGTATGGAGTTAATTGGACCCCTTCAAGGCTTCCGGACTTTAATTATTTCATTGTTTCATATTTTGCTGCCATTTGTCCTTCCAAGATTCTGGACATTCCAGTGTTCTTATTGTTTACTATTTCCACAAAGGCCCCGGCTTTACTTTCCCCTCATCGCAACCTAAACTCCGCTAAGAAAAATACGAACTCGGGGTAACATCCCCATGTTGCCATGTCTGCTACGACCACCACGCTCGCGACCGCCACTCTTGTCGGAACCCCCTCTGCTATGAAGACTGTCGCTACAGTTAAAGAAAACCACTGTCCAACGTGTGGATCTGGCGACTCGTATGATCCCTCCGAGGCCCAGCTCCGGATCCAGGAGTTGGAGGGGCAGATTCAAGACCTGACCCATCGTGTCGCTTTAGATGGTAGGTGACGGACTAGAGCCCTCTTCATAGTGCACGGATATAATAGCTTAAACAACAAAGCTCTTATACCCGACAAAACTTTCCCATATTCAACAGACTGGTCTTGAGAGCCTCCAAACATCCGCTGACCGACTCTTTCCTCTCGCAACAGCAAACAAACTCGCCGACTACGAAGATGAGATCACACGACTGCGCAAATCCCAAACTCATACGCACACCCGAGGATCCTACGACACACCCCGCAGCAGCGCCTCTCTCCCATCTTCCCACGCCGATAGGTTGACACTCTCGCCAACCCAAATCGCCGGCACACCAGATACAGCTTCTCAACCGACAACCTACCACAGTCGCCTCGCAACACTCACATCACTCCTTCCCTACCGCCGCGGAAGCTCAACGACCAGCGCACCCGCGAGCACACCCGCACCAGCCTTACCAACCACCCCAACCTCACTCCCACCCCTCCCTCAATCTTCGCCCGCCAACAGCGACAACGCCGAGCTCCAAGACGCTCTTACGCGCGAACAAGGCCTCCGCAAAGCAGCAGAGTCTCAGCTGTCTCTCGCAAGCAACGAGCTAGAAGAGCTAACAGTACAGCTCTTCAGCCAAGCAAACGAGATGGTCGCGCAAGAGCGGAAGGCGCGCGCAAAGCTCGAAGAACGGGTCGCTATTCTTGAGCGTCGAGACGTCGAGAAACGGACCCGGTTGGAAAAGCTGGAGAAATCCATGGCGAGAGTGGACAGGCTGAAGGCTTTGGTCAATTCATGACGTCCCGATGCTGCTATTTATAACGATTGCTATGAATTTTTTTTTCTTGTTTTTGACCCTGCTATTGTGCTTGGGCTTGATCCCAGGGTCATTATGGATATGAACTGTGGCGCTGGAAATGGTCTTTGGTATTTGCTTTTTTGCCTCCACTTGTGGTAGGATTCGATTCCCATCTTTGCGTGGTTTTTTGCACCTGGTTGGTGTTTGGATTATATGCCTTTTGGCCGGTGGGGAGCTTGCTCTTCCTCTTTTTACTCTTAGTAATTCGAAGTGAAGTTTCAGTATGGATGTAATGTTCGAGTCGAGCTATGTAGAGCTAAGTAGATTTGACGTCTTTGCTTGCATTAGCTAAACAGGTAATTGCGTCATGCATATTCAGTAGAAGCAAAATGGTGCTTTGGAACAGCATGATCGTTTCTACAACGAAAACACAAAGACTGCATCATTGTATAACCGTGTCGGTACGCTCGCAAAGTTATACCGATTAATGAAGAGACGGCTAGCCGAAGCCGAACTCTCGGAGGCGAAACAAAGGTTGGACCTTCCCACGTTCGCAGTGGAGGTCGGTGTGGCCCGACTTAACCCCACTTATGTCTGCATGCTTCTGCATGACATCTTAGCAAGGATTTCAAACTTATTCTTGCATTCATACCTGAGGACCTCAGATATTTTTCCTTCGCTCCAATCCTTTTGATTTTACTCAGGTTTCCACAATATACCATTATAATAGACGACCACATCATGGCTATCGGTGTAGCTATCATCGGCAGTGGTAAGAACCAATCCAAACCTTCAAGTATGAGTGAATTGGATGCAGGAAATCAGGACTAATATTAGATCTATGCAGGCAACTTTGCCAAAGAGCAACACTTGGTATGACCGAAGACTTCCGGGGTCCCACTTCAAGTAATTGAATGGTCGTACTGATTCATTCCCCTATTGAATATATATAGCCCGCCGTGCAAGCCGTCAAGGACCTGGATCTCAAAGCCATCTATTCTCGATCCCTTAAATCGGCACAAGATCTCGCTAGTAACACGACAGACATCGATCTCTACTCAGAGGATTCCGGTGCAGGACGCTCCTACACTGATCTTCTAAACCGTTCAGATATCAGCGCTGTAATCATCGGGTACGTCAAGCCTAACCAAGACGGAGCCTATTATGATTTGGAAAGTCTGACATGATCAACAGTCTCCCCATCCTGGTTCAACCAGACTTCATCCGTCAAGCACTCCTGGCTGGCAAACATGTGCTTTCCGAAAAACCAATTGCCAAGGATGTCGCCACTGCACGCGAGCTTCTGTCTTGGTATAAGAAAAACATCGACACCAGCAAGGTATTCTGGGCCGTAGGCGAGAACTTCCGATACATGACAAAGTTCTTGTTCGCAGCCGAGCAAGTCCGACAGATGGGACAAGTACGCAATTTCAGAGTGAACGTGCACAGCCTGGTGAAGCAGGATAACAAATACTACTGTACGTTACCTGGCCCACTTCCATGGTTCTTAAATGCGGACCTTGGGACCTTTGCTGACTATAATTATTAGTGACTGCCTGGCGCAAAACACCCGAGTACCAGGGAGGTTTCCTCTTAGATGGCGGCGTACACATGGTAGCCGGCCTACGATTGATCCTAGGACCCGACGAAAAGATCACCACCGTCTCCGCGCACTCACAGCTACAGCAGGAATACCTGCCCCCAGTAGACACCGTGGATGCGGTGTTGAAGACCGGGTCCGGGGCTACAGGTGTTATGTCTCTGTCTTGGGGCTCTGCATTCAGTGATAACGTCTTTGAGTTTTCTTGTGACAAGGGTGTGGTAAAGATGCACTTTGATGGGGTTACTGTTAATGGACAGGACCATGTCATTGAGTTTGATGGCAAGGGTGTGATTCCTGAAGTTGCTGAATTTGCGGCGGCTGTTGCAAATAGCCGACCTGTTGCGAAGAGCCAGTCGCCTGAGGAGGCCTTGGCTGACTTGGAGGTTTTGGAGCAGATGTTGCGGAGTGGAGACCGAGAGGGAGAGAAAATGAAGGTTCAATGGCAATAGTTAGATGATGCAATGTATAGCCCTACACTGGAGGTATGGTGCGTTTTCCCTGGGATGTACAGTATGGAGGATGATGGTATTCAATACGGTTGATGGTTACTGCCAACTTTGGTGGTTCGATGGCAATCTTCTTAAATCGAGGCCCAATTGTTTGAACAGAGTTATCTGAAGACAGATTGTACTTCAAGGCTTAGATATCCCAGCTGAAGTATGTTGGAAACCTAGATAGTGAAGACGAGGCGGTAGGGAGGTCATGAAAATGAGAAAGGAGTGTACCCGGAGATTCCTGGGTTTATAGACCAACGGATTATTAATTGGAGGATCATATGTACTCGTTATTTTGACAAAAAGAACCTGAAGTATTGAAAATAAACTCTAGATCTAACATGAACATGGGGTATGTAGATGTTCCTAAAAGGGAAATCTTGGCAGGGCTATGTGTCAGCCAGCCCTACGCTGACATAAGCCCACCTATTTCGCTTAGGTCGCCCAAATCACACTAGTGTGGGTCGCCCACGCCGCTCTGCTTGGAAGTTTTCGAGATTGACTACGTTCCGACTCGACAACTCTCAACGCCCGGCGAGACCCAGCAACACCGACAAAGTGAGTTTTCACGTCCGTTCGATCGACCGTACCAGCACTCTGACAGTTTTCTCTTTTTACAGATGGTCGCCGCTAAGCAGCACATCCCTATCGTCAAGAAGCGTATGTTTCCCGATCTTCGACCCTATGAATCCCATTTGTGGCCTGGATAGCATCGCCCTCCGACCACCTCCAGACGACGTGAGAGATTGAAATCGAGTTGGATGAGAAAGAGGCGGGCTTTTTGAACGACATTGAGGGGGAACTTTTTGATTTCGATTTTTTTTACGGCTCGAAAGCGTCTTGGTCGGAGAGCGATATTATCCACGGAAACCTACCACCACCACACTATCAATGATTCTACGACACCGATTGCCGAATGGAAGGACTGACAGGATGTAATAGGGACCAACCGCTTCACCCGTCACCAGTCTGACCGGTTCCACCGTGTCGGTGCCTCGTGGCGCAAGCCCAAGGGTATCGATAACTGTGTCCGCCGTCGCTTCAAGGGCCAGATTGCCATGCCCTCCGTACGAATTTCCTGTTCTTCAGGTGACCAGAAACAAGGCTAACCCGATACCACAGATCGGTTACGGTTCCAACAAGAAGACCCGCCACATGATGCCCTCCGGCCACAAGGCTTTCCTCGTCCACAACCCCAAGGACGTCGAGCTCCTCCTGATGCACAACCGCACCTTCGCTGCTGAGTACGTTCACTCTTGATGCGATCTTCTGCGTCTTTGAAATTGCAGATCTATGCGAATTGAACATGCACTAACACAATTTACAGGATCGGCCACGCCGTCTCTTCCCGCAAGCGTGTCGACATCATCGCCAAGGCCAAGGCTCTCGGTGTCAAGGTCACCAACGCCAAGGGCCGTGTCACCACTGAGGCTTAAATGGAATGAACCCCAAAAAGTTCTGTTTCATTTTGTTTTCGGGGGTATTCGCAGGAGCATGAGAGGGTTTTTGTACGGTCGTGATATCTCTCTGGCGATAACGAATTTCAAGGATTGTGCATGCCATGCCATGTGCGGCTCGCGCTTGGTCAGAGTGCTGGGCGATAGAGCGAGAGAAACTTGTTCTGAAATGACAACAAAAATTCAAAAATTCTCTTCTGGGCATGGAATGGATCCTGCATTTGTAGAGCTACGACTTTTGTACATTTGTACTTGTAGTATCTAGAATATCTAGAAACAAGTGTGGCTATAATACTAACTAGTACTTGCAATGTTGGTGTATATTCGAAACGTGCATGTCCTGCTTTGGGCAGATCCAGCTGCATCCGGCACCAGCCAAGAACGTGGCTTAATTCAAACTTGACAGTGCCCTTTCAACCTCACTTCCTCCCAAACTCGATAGATTCGACATCCAGTGCACAGCCCAGAGCGCCAGGGTTTCCTTGTCCGTGCAGAGGGATTGAGGGACCACCAGACCCACTTGTTCAGGGGTCCTTGTAGCGGGCCTCTGTGACACGGCGCCTAGAACGAACAAAAGAGCCAGACTACGTGCCTCCGAGGGAAGCACGACAGTTGCAATTTCGGTCCGCAGAATCTTGTTTTCAAAATCGACCCGCTGGTATTCCCAGGGTTGTCAAGCCTTCATTCCCTCGATTCAAGGACGAAAAAAAGTGGAACAGTTCGCCGATCTGGCCAATGTCAGGCCTAAACAAGCCGCGGAAACAAAAGCCCCTAAAGTCCAGGCTTTGGTGATACTTAAAACCCATCTTCCCCATCTAAAACATTTCGGATCTGTTTCTCAGTCTCCTTGGGATATGGAGGGACGATATTAGGCAACTCCTTTCCATCCCTTCTCTCCCACGCCATCCCTACAATGCTCGCCTTCCCGGCCCGCTACTCGCGCTGGCTGCCTCTGGCTGCTGGGGCAGTCGTCATATTTCTTTTTCTGCACCTCCGACACCCTGGATTTGGATCGTACACCCCACAAGTGATTAACACCGAGTCATCAATAATCTTAACATCAAACCGAACAAGCACCACCATCGATGACATCAAATTCGGCATCAAACCCGTTGACACAAACCCCACATCCGCAACGTGCCGCTCACTACCCGGCATCGAAGATATCCTTGTTATCCTAAAGACAGGCATCACAGAAGCACAAGAAAAAGTGCCCGTGCACATTCGCTCAACTCTCCGCTGCATTCCGAACAAAATAATCATCTCCGACTTCGAAGAAGAAATCGAGGGAATCCAAACATACGATGTCTTCCGCAACACAAGCTGGGAAGTCCGAGAAAACATCGACTTCTCACTCTACAATCGCGCACAGTTGAACGGCCGCGCAGGCCTCAGGCAAGAAGATACAGTCAAGGTCGCCAACAGCGCAGCCGGAATGAGAGGCAACCCAGGTTGGAAGCTCGACAAATGGAAGTTCCTACCCATGACCGTGGAAGCAAGGAACTACCAACCCAATGCAAAGTGGTATGTCATCCTCGAGGCCGACACATACCCGATCTGGCCGAATCTGGTAGCGTGGTTGAACAAGCTCGACTCAAGCAAGAAACTCTACCTCGGCAACCAGATGCAGATCGGGGAGGACGTGTTTGCGCATGGTGGATCGGGTATCGTTCTTTCTCATGCGGCTATGCATGGAGTCGCGGATGAGTACTTGGCGCATATGGATGATTGGCATTTCCAGACGAATATACATTGGGCTGGTGATTGTATTTTGGGCATGGCGCTCAAGGCTATCGATATCCCGCTTACATGGGCTTGGCCACATGTTACCGGGCAGTCTATCTGGGAGCAGGATGCTATCAATGAGGCATATGGGAGGCAGCAGTGGTGTTACCCGCCTTTTACATTTCACCATATGACGACTGCGGATATTGAAACGATGCTTGAGTTTGATACGAAATGGCATGCGGATGTGAGTATTTGCTGCCTTGCCACTGCATAATGTTTCAATGGTTCTTTACTTACGCTTTCTTAGGCAAAAAACTCTTATCTCTTATACCAAGATGTCTTCCGCCTCCTTGTCCGACCAAATCTTACAGCCATCAAAGAAAACTGGGATATTTTCGCCCCCCATGAGCTCAAAAAAGAAGGCGATGAAAATGCGTCTTACACCCGTTTCGAGTGCGCAGAAGAATGTGCCAAAACGATGAATTGCATGCAATACAGTATCGACAAGGCTGGTGCCTGTAAGATCTCTGACCTCGCACTTGGCGGCCGACCTGCAGCGGATGTCACGGCTGGTACGATGATGTGGAGGGTCGACGAAAAAGTGCGTTCTCTGGGCGAGTGCGAGCGCCCGCGGTGGGTTCATGAGTAATACTGTATTTTCATTTTTGTTCGCTTTTGTTTTGTTTTGTCATTTGCTTTTCTTTTGCGTTTGGGATTCGGTAACATGGCGTATACACGTGGCGATGGGATCGGTGCATCGGGACTGGAGAACTAGCATTTGAAATCGGATTTGGCTTTGCTTCGCATAGATTTCGACATACTTGAAGGAGATCAACTAGGACTATAGATTGGGTGCGAATCAATTGATATGATATTCTTGAAACATAAAGATTCACCTGGAGAAGCAGACCTTTTAACCAGTTACGACTGAAAGGATGGAAAAGCCATGCAAGAAAATGGCATCAAATTCTACGTGAATCAAAATGCAATGTAAAACACCCACTCTATGCTGTATGTCCAGATGAGACGCGAAACATGTCACCTCGACTCCAATCAACGATATGGTATCATAAGACCAAATAATATGCAACGAAGACAAAAAAAATCTAAACCTTTTTACTGCGCCACGGGAGGTACCAGCTCAGCAGCCTCTGGGGCAGGTGTGGTATCCAGGGAAGACATATCCACGAGGCCAACACCCTCAAGTAGAACAGGCCCAGTAGGAAGCTTAGTTCCCTCGGCGACTACACCATCATCATCAACACCGATCTCAGGCGGAACAGTGCCGTGTCCGATAACAGTCTCTTCACCATCAGCGGCAGGAACCCAATCAGGAACCTCACGAGGACCAAGAAGACCAAACGGCGGCATTCCCCAGCTGGGCATGGCACTCCGGTACGACCAGTCACCCTCAAGATCAGCATAGGCAACAGCATGCAAGAAGATACCAAGCTCGTGGGGACCCGGATCAGAGTACAACTCCGTATCACAGACCTCACAAAGAGCACCGGACAGACGCTCACCCTTGCGAATAGAGTAATCCTCCGCAGCGGCCTTCTGCTCGCGCTCGAGGAGCTGCGCCAGAATAGCCGGGTCGGTGTCAGGCGGCACATCCGGCGAAGCCATAAAGTGGTGGCGGTAAGAAACCGTATCAGGCAACTCAGTCTTACCCATCCGGTTCAGCCGTTCCATAATCTCCTCATCACGCTGACCGTGCGACTCGTTCTTGGCCAATTCAGGCCCGAATACGCGACGGTTAGAGTAGATGGGATCGTTGGAGATAGGATGACCCAGGAACTGGAGGTGGACTCGGATCTGATGCGTACGTCCTGTGAGGGGGAAGCAGTGGACGATACTGTAGCCCTCTGTTTCATTGGACAGAGCCGGAGGCGGGGTTGCAGGGCGGAGTACATCGCCGTTGGCCTCGGACGCAGGGGGAGTGGGCTGTTCCGACTGGGGAGGATAGTATGCCAATCGGCGGAACTTGGTGGTAGCCGTTTTACCGGTGGCGCGCACGCGATTTAGTCCCAGCTTGGGACTAACCTGCATAATGGGCTGATCGCAGACCACCACGCCATCGGGGAACTTGCCCTTGACTCGTGCGACGTATTCCTTCTGCACGGAGCGCTCCTTCAACTTGGTTGCCATCCTCTCTGCACCCTTGGCATCCTTTCCGATAAACATCACGCCTGAAGTGAGACGGTCGAGACGGTTGCAGGGCCGCGGCAGGAAGCCATGGCCGCGCTCTGCGCGGAGGATCTCGACGACGGAGTTAAAGTGGTATCGGCCGGCGGAGTGGACGGGCACACCTGCGGGCTTGTCGATTACGATGAGGTCGTCGCTTTCGTGGATGATACCAATTGGTTGCGACGAGACGGGAGGTTCATGACGGTGGCAAGTGTGCGAGATAACCTGGCCGTTCTTGATGATCGTGTCGCGGGCCGCAGGCTTACCATTCACGGCGACGAGACCTTGGTCGAGTGCCCATCGCTAATAGATATGTTAGTATGACGGTGTGGATCATTGGGGTCCTGAGGGCGCATACATAATAGTCTGGTCTCCTGTCTCGAAACTCCGATGTGAAGATATCCTCCAAATTACGACCGCGCCACCGCTCCTTGCAATTAGTGTTGTAGGTGTAGTGGTAGGGCGCGACGCGGCGAAATCCACCCTCCAGGTAGTATGGTGCTGGCCATGGATCGCAAGGGGTAATGCAGACAGCGGGAGGCTCTTTGAAGGGTTCGGGTTTAACTTCGACATTGACGAGGGCCATGACGGGTGGCGGGGGCAGAGGAAGTTTTCCTCGCCGGAGCAAATATGCCGTTATACGCGGAGATGGAGCCAGGAGGAAAAACGAGCGACGTGCGGCTCAAGAATTCAAAGGAACGTAGTGGTGGCGGGGAAAGTTTGGGATGAAAAAAATAAAATTGGGGATTTGATTAACGATAACGGATTTCATTGTGGAGTCAATCTCCCCCACGGAACCCAGGACCCAGAACCCAGAATCTAGAATATGTTGATAATCTCATGGTCCGTGTATATCATGATGAATGAGTGATCGCTGCTTGATGCAAAATTCATGATTTAATCTTCTGACCCTAAATTCATCTAAAATGCAGCAGCTTACCTAATCTCTTGGACCTCGGTTCATCAACTCCGAGGTAGCGGAGACGCAGACGATCACTTTTGACACCTCTTGCCTCGTTGAACAGTTCTCTGGGCCACTTATCTTTCTAGATTCGTAAAAGACACACTTCAATACATACAAACATGGCAACTTCTGACTACTTAGCCAAGAAGGGTCGTGTACGCAGCGATTATGGCTATCATCAAGTCCACCAAACAAGATGGTAACGGCAACCCGAACCGATACTTGGATGATAGAGCAGCGAGAATTAATAAATCGATTTACCAGGTTCGACAATGACATGTATGCTCATCTGAACAATACTGTCTATACCGCCCTTTTCGACACCATTGCCAACTCTTACCTGATCGAGGCCTGCGGCATGAATCCCTTCAGCGTCAACAACCCCACTCCTAAGAGCCAAGCTGGCCAGCCATCCAATCTATCAGTTGGCGCGGATCAGATTGGTCTGATTGTTTCAACGCACGCGGACTTCTTTGCTTCCGTTGCATTTCCCGATATCCTTGAGGTCGGGTTACGAGTTGCTAAATTAGGGTCATCGAGCGTGACATGGGAAATCGGGGTGTTTCGGAAGGGCGAGGAAGATGTGAAGATGGTCGGAACTTATATCCATGTTTTTGTTCTGCGGGAGACAATGCGAGTGGGCAAGGGTGGCATGGAGGATAAGGTGCGCAATGGGCTCCAGAAGTTGCTCAGTAAACCGGATTCGAAGCTGTGATGTAACATGATATGACACTTGTATATACAACCTGCAGTCAAGACTCAAAGTGGAAATGCGCCACACATGCACCATGTCTATAATACATACCAGTAAGTAGGGAAAAGAAGCGAGCCAATTACGTCCGTGCCATACACGGACGGTCTTAAGATGATCAATGGGAAAGTAGTGATATGAAATCCTCCGAGAATTACCGGATCATCATATTAAAAGTATATAGAATGTGAGCTGCCCAATGAAACCGCGAAAGCGCACCGTTAAACCCGTGCGCCGTCGCATATCATCCCAGCCCGCGAAAACAAAAGTCTATTCTAGTCTAGTCTATCATGCAAGACAAGAAACCAAGAAAAAAAATAACCCGAAAGAAACACCCATAACCCAGTCGTCCCGTAAAGCTCAAGTCAAAACACTTTTGTAAACCTATACCCACGCTTAAACGCTTCCCAAAACCGAAACACAAGCGCTAACAAAAGGTAGTGGGATCATTGCCATGGTGAAAACCAAGATGAAGGAGGTGTAGATGGCAGTATAAATGATAAAAAACAAAAGACTGCATAAGGCGAAGAGTCAAAATGCCAGTTTACTCAATCTTGCCCGCAATAACACTGTTGCAGCGCGAAACATTGGCACTGGTAGGGGGCGAGACGCCTCGGCGCATAGTCTCACCGTCCTCGTCCAACCACCACTTAGGATACGGACCCGGAATAAACCGGCCCTTGGCGTCCCAGCCAGCGACCCAGTGGACGCCGTCATCAAGCAGGAAGAAGCGCAGCCTCTCAGGGCGACCGCCCTTGTGCAGGGGAGCAGTGAAGAAGCGCGAGCGCTCGTCGAGCTCAGACTCAAACATGTAGCGGTGCAGCACGCGGCAGTAGACCAGAGCAGCGGGAGCTTTTTCGTCTTGGTCGCGCCCGTCACGGCGGACAAGGTGCCAGCCTTGACCGGGCAAAAACTTGTATGTTCCTGGAACGGGAGTGTCCCAGTGTTGTTCGCGATTGTGGTCGGGTTCGACGCGATCACCGTGCTGGAACCAGTAGAGGGGGCAGCAGAGGGTGCGCAGGCAGAGGAAGAGATTTGGAGCCATGATGGCTTGAGAAAGATTCAAAGATGTTGAGAGGTTGCGCGTTGGTGTAGATCACCCGCGGGAAAGGAGTATCAAAGTAATATGCGAACACGCAGCGCTGAAATGCGGAATATGTAGTAAAAAAAAGATGCCACAGGATGGCGTGGTTATAAGTCGACGTCCATGATGACAAGTAATTCGAGTTCAATGGTTCGAAATCGATGGGAAAAGGTTGGACAAGGCCTTCAGCTTCCACTTAGAAGCTCGGTGAACGGCCTTGGAGGGAGAGAGGATGGGCGCTCTCTTTATTCCCACAAAGAAGGTGAGAAAGACCACGGACGGCCACAGACCAACGGAACTGCGGTAAGGGCAGGGGATGTCCAGGGACACTGGAAACAGGGGAATGTCGTTATCGTTGCGGTGAGACGGGAAACACGTCCCCGGGATTTGCGAAAGTAAGTCGGGACGAGTCGTGATAAGCGTGCAGCTCCTTCCGACAGGCTAGCAATTAAGCACAGAGGTTCTGTAAGAACCCCGGGAAAGATGGGACTAATCCGGGGCGAATCAGGAGATTGGATTAGGGAGAATATCACGACCTGGCCGGAGCAGGAATCGGCAGCTTGCAGTGAGGGGAGCCGATGTTATTGCTCATAGGGACCGCATGCAAGCAATGGAGCATTTGACTGGAGGGATGTCGACATGGCGGTGTTATATAGGGGAAATAATAAAAAGAAAAATTGTGTGGGATGTTAACTAGATGCGGGTCTCCCGTGTTCGGGGATCCATCACCTTAAACCAAGGTTGTCTAGACTCGCTCAAGATCGAAATTTTCCTCGTTTCTGCGGCTCCACCCGAGCCACATTTCATGCGCTATTTTCTTTTGTTTACCTAAATCCTTACAGCCAAGACTGCTGCCTTCAGGTTTTCTGTCCCTAGCTACATGTTACAGGTCTAATTATCCTTGCTCTTAATAAAGCTACATTGCTTTATCTGTGATACATTGCATATGAAGATCGTCGGTGGCTCCGGCTTACCACGCGGCTCTTGGCGAGTAAATTTTTGTAGGATCAGACATGTGGCTCAGTGTTTGAGTTTCAGCCTTAAAAATCTTTGCAATTATGGATTCAGCTTCTGACCGTCATCTGACATCACAAGAAAAAATGTCACCGTTTGCCCTCTAAAGGTTAGCTTGTTCTCTGCTTTATAGCCTAATTTAGATAGTGGGTTCCGATCCCTGCCACACTTCAAGTTTCCGTTTTTTTATTCATAGGGGAACGATCGTCATAATTATGATGTCGCACTGCCACATGTATCGTACTTTTGATCTGTCTACTCCACATGGTACGTTTTGATGACTCCGACGCCTCACCATTGAAGCAATAATATGGCTTTTTGGGCCGTGACAAAGGATTCGAAACTCTCCTTTCCCTGTGAACCAGATCGTTGGGAAGCCACCCCTGTAAGACACGAAGCTGCTTGCGCAGTCGACCCTCCCCTTTTATGACTTGTACGTACTCCTGTACGTGCACTGCAGACCCTTAATTCTAAACTAGGTAATGCCCCCACTTTCTTCATGAACGCAGATACTCTCACTTGCCACGTGTGTAAAATTGAGAAGATATGCTCTTAGCTTCAGATAGCGTTCGCCGTTATCTACCCCAGACTTTGAGCTCATTAACTTTCATAGTTTCCCGTTGCGAAAGCCTAAGTCGAGTAGCTCTGATATCGTTAGTCCCGGAATAAGCAACGCAAAGGAAGTTCTTTCGAAATCGCGATTGTTGCCCCATTCCCTATTGGGGCAACGAGATTTACTCCGTACTCCGAAAAAACATACACGTACTTTCCAATCTTGGAATCAATACCTAAGAAGGCATGGAGAGCATTGAAGCTGGATGTCATGAGTATTCCTTAACTTAAGAATAATCAAGGATAAAGAGCTCGAGATTTCTCCTCCAATCTGTAAAAATCATCAACAATCAAGCAATCCAATCAGCCAATTGAACAATCCACAGATCACCCGATCAATCACCTTTACACATACAAAATGCAGTTCATCACCGTCTTCATTGCTACCCTGGCCGCCGTGGCCTCTGCATCCCAGACTGCTGAGAAGCGTTCCTGCATCGCCAGTGAGTTTATCTTAAATGTAAAGCCTTTGAGAGTTTTGGCTAAATGACCTTCTAGACTACGATGTTGCTTGCCAGAGTGGGGGCACCCCTTGCTGCGATGGCTGGCAGTGTGTTGGCGCCACTCAGTGGAGTGACGGTGTTTGCATCCCCAACTAAGGGATAGTTGGGTCTATTTCTTTTCCTATGTCAATGTCACTACTATAGAATCACTATACTATCAAGCTGGTCTAGATAGTCCAAAACAGCAACAATTTTACCTCTCGCATCATTTCAAGGCCCTACGTAACAAGTTTCTATGAGTGATCTACATCAGCGTAGCCAAATCTATATTTGGCGGACGGCTACTTGCCTTACCGCTTGACAAATCTCGGAACCCACGATGGGCCAGTAGGTGTCATTATTGGATGGAGCCAGATACCGAATTCATTGGCCTCTTTCAAACGAGACAGCATTAAAGTGCTGTCAAAGATAGGTCAGATCAAAGCGTTTGGCGGTAACTGGGTCAGACCGTGGAGATTTGGAAGGATTTCATTCAAGCCCGATTTAGTGAAGCCAAAACATAACATTTCATGAATTGTCTATTTTATTAAATTTTGTTTTTTGGAACATTTCATGCAGTCCATATTGAAAACTTGGAATTAGGCTCCGAATCAGGCCGGAGTGCCATTCATTTCATATTTTGAGGTACGAGTTCAATGGTATAACCATCCTAGCAAAATTTAGCCCCAGACTTGCCCAAAGATAAGGGCAGGACTTACCGGATCTTGAACAAACGCAATCTGTTCAAATATTTTTCTGTAAGCCGGATGGACAGCGCCCAGTCCGATACCGCGCTGAGCCTCCCAACGACTCAAGGGGATAGTTTCCCGGGTCGCAACTCCCAAATCCTTTTCAACCTCGACACCATTTGATCTCAAATATTCCAAAGTCTTTGGGACGTCCGGAACCGTGAATCCTAAATGTCCAAGTCCCAAGTTCGGAGGTTGATTGCCGGTGCTGTACAGTCCCGCGGGCTCATTTTCAGTGCCGTGAATATGATAGAGTTCCAGAAGCCCAAGAGTATGAGCAAGATTTGCGAGCGTGTCCTCGCCGAATTTTGTCAGATCTTGTTGGTGTTCCGGTGTTTGGGGGTAGCCGAGATAGTAGATCGTGAAGGGGCCGGTGTCCATGGTGAACACGGTTCGCATGCCGAGTAAGTCGACATAGAAGTGTAATGAGCGAGCAGGGTCTTGGATTCGCATCATCATATGGTTCATTTTGAAACCGGCAGTGGGATTATTTGGGAGTAATGGAGATTCGGTCTTGTTGCCATTAATTAGGTATTCACCTACGGGGTGGGTGGGAGGTCTTGAGGTATTTTCACTCATTGTGACTGTCGTGGATGCCTGGAGGGTAGCAGAAGAGGACTGTCATCAAGTTTTGGGTACAGGATATATATTGAAGGTAGTCATCTTAGCCAATATGCGGGGGTTATGTGGGACGAGCGGGGATGGGGGTTATCCGGCCTGAGTTTGGTATAGCCTCACACGACATTCTGTCCAGTTGAAACTCTCAATGTCAGAATAAAAATTGGCAAGAAGGGAACAAAAAGTTCTTATGGACCTGTTCATCATTGTCAGGGGAAGTAAAGTAGATTAGTCTCGAGCTAACTGTTATTGTTGAAGGTCATTTACGATCAGCCCCACATTCACAACGGTCTCCAAGGTTATTAGATCTACGGCTGCACACCCGAGGGGTTGGAAATTACAGAGACCTTAGATTTCCATGGATATTGCTTTGAATTGCCTCAATTTGCAGTCACTGGTCGAGAGAAACACTCGACTTTACCCGTAGTCATAGCCTCCTGTCGAAATTCTGGGCGATGGCCGCTTTGGTATTGGACTGGCTAGCTCGATGCCTTACAAAGCAACTAGAAAGATGGCTACATACGCTACAATACTTCAATTATTGCTTCCTTAGATCGAAATCATATGATAGCCACGCTGATGATATGCGGTAGTCTCGGTTGGTGCTTGCCTCTTTGATGAGAACAGGCGACGTAGCATGACATGCTTTTAGATTGTGAAAGATCCATACAAACAATAGATTTCAGGCACCTCATGTTTTGATTTGAACGAATTTCTCGGCTTTCCAGGGTGTTCCCACCCGGAATAGAGTGGTGATCGTCGGAACAGCTCAAGCCGGTGCTTCTCCGCATTTCGCCCCCCACTTCCCCGGAATTTCACCATACACCTTTCCACTGGTGCTTCTTCAAAACCTGCTTTTGGAAATGGAAAACAGAATAACTATACCCCAGGATCCTCTAGTATCTATGGCTCAAGCAGACCCTGACAGACCAAAAAAGAAACGCATCCGGAACTGGACTGCGGAGGATAGAGCAATCCACCGTGAGTTTGAGAAGTCCCGCCGGGAGGCCTTTGGCGTGCGCTTGATGGTTAGTATATTATTGTATACTGCTAGCTTCGTATATGCTAACCCATTTCTAGGAGCTAACAAAGTTACTTCCCATGCTTCGGGAAGAAACGCGACCCTCAAAGCATATTATCGTGGACGCGAGTATCTCTCATCACAAGGCCCAGCAAGCAAGATGCGATCAAGCCACTAGTGCAGTCAAAGCACTGCTAGCTGAACGTGATGATTTGCTTAGAGAGGTCAACGGCTTGCGATCTCTGTGCCAACCCGGTACTTCTGTCCCGCGACAAGCTCGGCCAATTGATCCGGCTGTCCTCGAATTCTTGAGAGAAAGTGACCAGTCGGATGCTAGTCAAACTTGGTCACCTGCGAGGACTCCATCTACTGGAGCCCAGCTGGACCAGACATCTTCCTCTTCATTCCCACCAGTGCCGTCCTTGCTCGTTCCTGGTGAAGGGCCGTCTCAAGTGCCAGCTCATCACGAACAAAACATACCGCAAAATCCACCCACGGCGTATAACTTGACGGAATGGGCTTGGTCTGGCCTTCAGGCACCTGCTACTGCTGCTGCTCCCTCGGATAGAATTGCTGATCCTGCTTCCTTATGGAGCCCTCCACCAGGTATATCCATAGCTACGCGACCGAAGGATATGGACCCGAGATACAATATCGGTTCTTCCTATCTTGTCAGAGACTCTGCGTCTTTTTGGACGCAACATCAGGGTGTGCTGACGACAACCCCGCCCAAAGACCCTCCTCAGAATACTGATTTCCAATATGACATAACCTCCTCACTTTTACCTGTTGACGACTCTCTATTATGGCCACCAAACATTGGGATCACCCCTTTGCCCGCGACGGAGAATATGCATTCGATGTCTTCAGGTCAAACATTTCACATTGCAAATCCACTGCTGTCAAATTCGGAGACTCTATCTATATAGAGGCGGAGAAGGTATCTCCAACCTCTCCTCAGGTACTAGCTCAACCCAAAGGCCTACACATTCTTCATGGCCTCTTCAATCTTCGCCTGGCTTCTCTTCTCCGCAGCGACAAACAGCGCAAGAGCTTCCCGCAGCCGCTTCTTGGTTTGCGGATCTTCCTCATTCGCCTTATCTAGCTCAGCACCTCCGTTAGCTAGATAGTCGATATCGGTTCTCGACAATTTTCCATCCCAGTTAGGTCCGATCAAAGGATCCGTCTGCGCAACCTTCCTCAGGCGCTCTGGGGTCGGCGCAGCGTTCTTGTATGGGTGATCCGGCTTAGGCACCCCTTCTCCAGGCTGCTTCGAGCCATCGTACGGGAGGTTAGCCAGTTGAGTGAGGACCAAATGAGAGATGGTCGCCGAATGACATCCCATCTCACCGGCCGCCATAGCTTCCTCTGGCGAAATGAAACTACAATTCATCTGTCAGCAAAAGTTGCCTCAAGCGGTCCATTCAACATACCTAGCGTTCTTGAGGAATGGCTGCTCCTTCCCGGTCTCCTTGTACATACGCTTGTATGTTTCAAGAATCTGGACGAGACGCGGAGACATTGGGTGCAGCAAAGCCGGGTCATTAGATTTGGGCCATAGCTCCTGCTCATCGTGCGCGCGAACCTCTGCGAAAACCCGTTAATCATCATTCCATGGAGAAAAAAAGCCCGGTAGCGCCTCACCATTATAGTATGGGCTGACGTATAAGCATCCGGCCTGGCTAGCAGCAATAGCCTGGTGGACACTGAATAGAGCAGTGCCGAGCGTGCGAATACCCTCCTGCAGCAGAATGGGGCAAGCATTCAAGGCAGGCCCAGTGCTTGGGATCTTGATACAGAAGCGATCCTTGGAAACACCCACACTCTCAAATTCCCGAGCATACGCACGGGCTTGCTCGAGTGTTTTCTCAGTATCATAGGCGTCAGAAGGGAGAGTTTGAAGAAGGACTCGGCCTTGAATGTTGTCGATATTGGCTTTGGACATCAAAACAGCCTGAGATTATGTTAATGATTTGTTAAGTTCTGAGAACACCAGAGATGAGATACCATGCGCGTGTAGATCTTTAACCAGCCCTGGTCTTTGTATTCCTTGACCACACTCTTAAACAACTCCTCATTGATTGGGTTGCACATCTGTTCGTGGACCCAACCCTGATTGCTGGTCATATCATGGGGAACGATGGGCATACTGAGAGTGTACGAGGGGTCCATCCAGTCCACATCAATATTGACTGTAATAAAGTCAGCTTGGAAGCATTGCGGTCAGGCAATTCACTCACGCTGCTCGGAGAGCTTTTGCAGCCATGATACAGTGCCTGCGCTGCCCATTTTGACGTTATTCGTGCAAGTTTAGCTCCAGGAAATATCTCTAGAAATGGGTTATGACTACAATGAAATTCAAAACAGATTAAGGAGGTAGAGTTATATATTTGACTGCAATGATTTGTGCGACTAGCAATTCAGTTTGTTACCCCTCTTGGGACCCCCGGGCAGCGGAGTGCATTTGCATGGGACACACACAGGACCACCTCACACCTGCGCAGGACACCTCAGTATCCAGCTAAGATCCAAATCTTAGCAACGGACTGTGATACGTCAATCCATTGCAATGTCCTCACACAGGGCATTCCACGGCCCAGCCATGTCCCAGCATTCCAAACCCACACGCAGGCCAAGAACCGGCTAAATGCCTCAAAAGTACATACCAAAGCCTCTCATTCGCGGAGATATCGTCGGTCGCACGCAGGGCCAAATCTTGGCGATGGAGCTTCCCCGACACACGGTGCACACGCAGGGCAGTGAGCGTCATTGGTAAATGGTGAGGGGTACCATCCCCAACGCGATTGGTCAGATCGGCTTCTTCGTTCGACGCTAGCGCACCCCGGATTTCTGGCCGATCGCCCCCACGCAAGTACGCCAATAGTGTTGAGGTCTGCCGGTGGAGTATAAATTCCAGCTTAAGACCCAGCGCTGGGGCTGTTGTGATTGGTATCTTACGGTGCAGGTGCAGGTGCAGGTGTTATCTTATCATGGCGAAGCTCAGCGTGGACGACGATTTCAAGCCTACTTCGGTTTTTGTGGAGGATGCTGAGGCTCAGGGGCGTTTGGGGAGTTATAATCAGAATGTTAATGCGAGGTACGGGAATACGTTTCTGTTTGCCTTGTTTATAGCTGGTGGCATTTATTGACTACCCTCATAGAATCCTCAACCCCCTCGCTGGAGTCTCTAAAAATGACCTGTTCGATCGGGTTTTGAGATTTTGCCAGGAATATGGATTTGAAGATCATGTCGAGACTTTTCAGAAAGGCGCTCTAGTAGCGCAGAACCAGAAGGGCTTTGAGGATCTCCCGGAACTGACTGAGGAGGATAGATATCACCTGACACGGGAGACTACTCGTATGTAACCCGCCTACTCTCCCTTGGCAAATTTAGTCTGACTGAGAATAGACAAGTGGCATTTGCCGAAGGCTCTGTACTTCAGTATCGCTTTGTGCTCTCTGGGCTCAGCAATTCAGTAAGTCTGCCATTCCATTCGCTTGAAAGTTGATGGCTAACTTGGGCTAAAGAGGATGGGACAACACTGGTGCAAATGGAGCCAACCTCTCATTCCCGCAGGAATTTGGCATTGAAGATAATAAATGGCTAGTTGGAGTTATCAACTCCGGGTAAGTCCTATTCGCTATGTCTAAGCTAAAATCTTATCTAATCTCTCGCAGACCAACGCTTTTTGGGCTTCTCAGGTTGGTAATGAAGTGCAGAATAACAAAATGGCTATCTGACATCCTCAAGTGCATGGGCAGCAGATCCTCTGAATAATTGGCTAGGTCGCCGTGGCACTATATTTCTCACTGGTCTCTTGTAGGAACTTGTCAAGTGTGGTACCTATGAGTCTCTCACTGACTTGAGCTATAGCTGTGTCTTCCCTGTGCTAGCACAGGCTTTCACGCAAAATTGGTGGGGACTTTTGCTCTGCCGTCTATTCATGGGCCTCGGTATGCAATGCCTGGGGGTTTTCAAAGATTCAAAGGCTGACAAATGATATGATTCTAGGAATGGGTGTCAAGATCTCGACAATCCCCGTGTTCAGTGCGGAGATTAGTCCCGCTTCAATCCGTGGTGGTTTAGTGACGAGCTTTCAGTTGTGGGTAGCATTTGGTACCCTAGTGTAAGTCTCAACGAGGTGAATCTTGGTCTTTTCTAATAATTCCCAGTGGTTTCTGCTCCAACCTGATATTTTATCGCGTGGGGCGCCTTGCTTGGCGGTTCCAGCTCGGCGCTGCCTTTGTTCCCGCTGTGCCCGTGTTGTTCTTTGTTTGGTTTTGCCCTGGTAAGTTGGGGTAGGTGAGCTCTTAGTGATATGGCTAAGAATGTATACAGAATCACCCAGGTGGCTCATGAAAAAAAAGCCGCTACCAAGAAGCGTTCCTTTCTTTCTGCCGGTTGCGCAATAGCGAGCTTATTGCTGCAAGAGATCTCGTGAGTGTGCGTTCACCTTGATATGTGACGAATCTAATCACTTCCAGTATTATGCACACTGTCAAGTCATGACCGAGCGAGATGCATTTTCTGGAAAGTCCTTAGGACACCGTCTATGGGAACTATTCGCAGTTCCCCGTCTCCGTCGCGCTATGATCTCCAGTGCGATTATCGTCACCGCACAGCAGTTCTCGGGAATTAACATTATGAGCTTCTATTCATCCAGTATCTTCTCGGAGGCAGGATACTCCACTAGAGACTGTCTTCTCGCATCTCTTGGGTTTGGTTTGACCACATTCGTATTTGCCTTTCCTGCTGTGTGGACAATGGATACGTTTGGCCGTCGGAACCTACTGTTGTTCACTTTTCCTAACATGGCCTGGTGCTTGTTAGCGGCAGGACTTTGCTTCTTGATTCCCAGTGAATCCAGTGCTCGAGTACCTCTGATAGCCTTGTTCATTTATCTGTTCACGGCATTATATGGACCAGGTTTGTCTAACTCTTCCACGTTTTGGAATTCATGCTCATCGATATAGGAATGGGGCCTATTCCGTCCATTTACTTCAGTGAGGCGTTTCCGCTCTCACATCGTGAGCTGGGTGCAGCATTTACTATCTGCGTGAACAACGCTGTTGGAAGCGCTCTGACACTTAGCTTCCCATCACTGCTGGCCAAGACAACCCCAACTGGAGGTGAGTGAAACTTATGATGCTCAAAGCTACATACATCTAAAGTTTATAGCATTTGGATTCTATGCCGGGTTGAACATACTTGCCTTCATCACCATTTTCTTGGTGGTTCCGGAGACCATGTAAGTCGACCTAAATGTATGTCTGGTTCATATCTGACGAGTTATAGGCAACGCACCCTGGAAGAGCTTGACTACACGTTTGGTGTTCCTATCTATCGACATGCCAGGTACCAGATTGGCACTTGGCTGCCATGGTTTATTCGTCGCTATGTTTTATTCCAGCGGTCTGCCAAACTGGAACCGTTTTACCAGTTGGAAGGGCTATAAGAGTGATCTTCCGAGAAGTTTTTTTTGGACTGCCATACTGATAGTCTATTCAAATTTACGCTTTGATTTGTTCTAAAGATGGATGTACCTAGTCTTCAAGTTACCAACGACTCGACCTCCCGGCGAAAAGTAGACCAAAACCGGAGACGAAAATTGTCATCACCATGTCATTTCATCCAATCCACCAAATAACTCTTTTTCCTTTTACGGTCCCCTCTAGTATTGCAAGAATGCCTCTCAACGATACACTACTTCGGCGTCGGCACCTCCAAAGAAGACCTAGCCGATCTCCCCCTTCACCCAGCTCTCCAAAATTATGGCTTCATAGCCTACGACGCCTCAGGCTGCGGAGTAGATTTAAAAAGCAGCGATCTATCAATAACCGGCACCCCTTTTGTCGCATGCGCCGAAGCAATTCTCACGCACTTTAACATAAACGAACTCACTTCATAGCCCACTCAATAGGTGGACTTACGGGACTCCTATCCGCAAAACGGCGCTCTAATCTCGTCCTCAGCTTCATAGATACCAAAGGAAAATGGTACCAGAATATTATGTCCTAGATCAGCAGATCTTCACTTTACCCTCCGATGACCCTGCAGTCTTTCTTATGAATTGACTGAGTCCTTCGAGAACTTGTTATATGCTTGTACGTTGCCTACGCGGGTAAGGGCCGCTACGATACCGCCCTTCAATTATATGGTCCGGTTGTCGAAAGAGGAAGATCTTATGGGTAGGTTTTTGAGGATGCTGTGTCCGAAATTGCATATGTTTGGAGCGGAATATCAGTCGATACTGCATCTGGAGACGTTGGAGGAGCACAGGGTAGAGTTTGGCGAAGATTTCGTGGAGAGTGGATGTTTCCCTCTGTACTCCAACCTGGTGAAGATGCATCGTACGATTTTAGGCTTTTTGCAATAGGTTGAAATAAAGTTGAGTTTACTAGATTGACCATGTAATTGTGTGAGACTTCCGCCGATCTTCTCTGCAGGGTAATCGAAATATGGTTAGCGCACGCCCTTCGTATAGATCTTGATATGTTTGGAGTTTAGTTTCGGATGGCTTCATTTCTAAGAGAGGAATACATATGATAATATCTATTTTTACCTCTTCTTTTCGACTGTAGGCCTTTGGAAAATTGCGAATTCAGAGATCGTGTGATCGTATCACACGACTATCGTGCTCTGATATCTCAAGATTTGCCACCGGCCTCGATTGCCGCGTAGTTTGTTAGGGCTTACTTCCCGATCATAGGGCAACCTCGGATGGAATCGACGTGCTTGGGACCTCACCTGTGTGCCTAGGTAATGACTAAATTCTACCTGTCACAGTACTTACAGTTATCACTCAACCCACAATTCGCAATGGAACCTAGACCCCAAAAGTAAAATCCACGTGGACTGAGAGATAAGGCCGTTTTCTACAGGACGATTCGAAATCCACAGTGGAGACATGTCTCGGAGTTCCTCCAATTTTCCGATTGGCCCCGATTCTGTATTTCTTCAAACTCGATATCAGATATATTGCCAAGGGAATCCGTAAACGCCAAGTCGATGTGACAGGAATTAAGCTTTGTGGCCGTTGCTTATGCATGAACTGCCAAGCGGAACTAACCTTCTATCTGAAAATGACAGCAGTCTGACCGTATAACGTTTTGAATTAAGCTCTCACGGGATTGAAATTTATCTGAAATATGGAGTAGACTGCATTGATTGGTGAGGCGGGAAATATCTGGCGAACTGCGCGAGATGATGTGTGGGCCCGAATTTCCGTATTGGCTCTAGGCCACAGTCAAGGTTTTTCATCCGTATATTAGGGGGCGTTGCGGGTCATGTTATTGCCGATGTGCGGCAATTCATACACAGTAAAACCGGGTCCGACTTTCTACACGGAATTCTTCGCTACTTGGAAAATAGATTAAGTCCCATGATTCTAGAGATAAGCAAAGAAATTGAGATTTGGAATGCGCATACCGTCGGATGTTTTACAGCCTAAACAGGCTTAGTCAGTGGCTGGGCTAATGCCAGCCATTGTGTAAAGTGCTGACTATTGTGACGTGAGCGTTTGCCAAAGTCCTAGTGGCATGACCAGTCGTTCTCCATCAGTTATCGGGGTTCTTGCGGAACAGCCGAATCTCGGTGGAAGATACTTTAGCAACACGGGTTACCGTAAGCGAAATTTTTCATTTCCTTCCAAAATGTGGATCAGGTCCACTTGCACGGGCAGGTCCGAACCAGAGATGTATCCAGTCCTGAAATATTGTTGACCCCCAGATCGCTTGCAGACAATGTAACCTGGCCCTTGCAAAAATGGGAACCATGTGGCCTGCCGGGCATACGCAATGTCGACTTGCATCCCGTCGGTCACCCGCCATGCATGTCTTGGTAGGTGGATTCCGGTCAATGCACAATGGAGCATGGGGCAAGTTTGCGATCCGCCGATACCCGGTAGCCACGGATGATTGGCTGGTCCAACAACGCGATTTATCTTTGAATGCGGAGAGAACAAGCTTTTGCCGAGTCTCCAAGGGACGATGTGGACCCAAGTCGTCAGCAACAGCCACCAGTATCAAATCAACCAGCGCTAGCGCCATTCAACACCCCGGCTCGTCGCTGATACAGGCACTAAACGTGATCAGCTCTTAGAACCGAGCGATAAGTCCCTGGATAGGCACTGGACGAAGCCGAGCCATGCCACTCCTGATAGCGAGATCCACTGGCCCATCATGCAACCCAATAACAAAGCAGATAACGGGGATTAAGTCCGGCCCACAAGTCCCTATCACTCCACAAGCCATTTTGTTTTATGGCTGGGGTTAGAGTCCGGGAGAATTTTCGGTGACCGGGCTTTTTTTTTTTTTTTAAAAGGCGACTTGGCCCTCGCGTTTCTCCTGGATATTTGAGATCAGTACGCGACTTTTTCACTCCTCCAGAATGGCCGGTATTATTTCCGCTGCCAATATTGGTGGCGTGGCCGACCCTCGTCTTGGGAATGAGGCTGATATTATCGGCACCAAGAAAGAGCACGAGGTTGATCTGCACCATGAATTGGAACCTCCTAACTTGAACGGTCCCGGCAGTATCTACTTGGACTCCAGCATCACTTTTGAGAATTATCATTACTGGGCCAACCGATCCCGTGAAGCTGAGAAGTTTATTCGTACCGACAATGTAGGCTTCTCGGCAATGGGTAATCTCCTCCGCAAACGCAAGGACAAACGGGAAATAGCAGCCGCCGAGCTCACTGAGCCCACTGAGCCCGAGCCTGTCCCTGAGATGGCTCTCACCGACGAGAAGACACCCGCTGCGGATGCACCAAGAAGCGATGAAGGGTCAGACAAATGGGGTGTCACTGAGACGGAATGGGAAACAGCACAGAGAGCTGCCCGTACCGCCACCTGGGGATCAATCTTCTATCTGATCACCACTGATATCTTGGGTCCTACCAACGTGCCTTATGCCATCAGCAGAATGGGATACGGCCCTGGTTTTGCGCTCTACACTGCCTTCGGTCTGCTGGCTGCCTACTCCGGTCTCCAGCTGTGGCGTATCTTTGTCGGTCTTGATTCCACTCGTTTCCCCATGCGTAACTACGGTGATGTCGCATTCCGTGTGTTTGGCTCCTGGGCCCGCATTGGTGTCAACATCCTGCAAAGTTTCCAATTCTTCCTCAACGTTGCGTTGTTGATTGAGAGTAACGGACAAGGTCTGGCACAGATGGTTGCTGGTGTGAACAACACCGGTGGTTTCCTCTGCTTTATCGCCGCCGAAGTCATTTTCATGGTCATTGGATTTGTCCTCGGACAGATCCGAACCCTGCAACGCCTTTCTTGGTTGGCCAACCTCGCCATTTGGGGCAACGTCGTCGTTATCATCATTACTATGGTTGTTGTCTACAAGTACCCTCCCAACTACTCCGCCGTGTACACCAGCTACGGTATCGAGAAGGGCCCAATCGTCACCAGCGCCAACTGGGCTGCGGGCTACGGCCTCGAGGACCGTATCACCGCCATGATGAATGCTGTCTTCGCCTACGGTGGTGCTACGCTCTTCAACGAGTTGATGGCCGAGATGAGACGTCCCATGGATTTCTGGAAGGGCTTCATCATCGCTGAGGTCTTCATCTACGTTTGCTACCTGGTCAACGGAATGGTTGTCTACGCCGCTCAGGGACAATTCGTCTACAACCCTGCTTATGAGGGAATTCCCAACACCCCTGGTGCATATCGTTACCAGACGGCGTGTAATGCCATCTCCTTCGTCACCGGTGCCATCGCAGCCCTGCTGTACGGAAACATTGGTATCAAGGTCTTCTACTCCTCCGTGATGCGTGATATCTTCCACTTCCCCCGCTGGACAGCAAGATTGGCAAGTGGATCTGGGTTGCCGTTGTGCCTATCTACTGGATCCTTGCCTGGATCGTTGCTGCCGCCATTCCCCAGATTAGCAACCTGACCTCGTTCGTCGGTGCCGCCTGTATTCTGCAGTTCTCCTACACCTTCCCTCCCATTCTCCTGATCGGCTACCACGTCCAGAAGGATGCTATGCTTCCCGAGGAGGTGTTCAACCCTCGCACTGGCATTGCCCAGCGTGTGGATCACGGTGTGAAGCGCTGGATCCGTGGTTACAAGAAGAAATTTTGGTGGAACACCTTCGACCTGATCTATGCTCTTGCTGCTCTTGCTACTGCTGGTCTTGGTATCTGGGCGTCCGTTATGTCGATGAATGCCACTTTCAAGACTACTACGCTCACTCCTTTCTCCTGCACTAACCCTGCTGGTTGAGGAAGTTGAAATTAATGTCTGAATTGATAGATGAGTGATGTCGATGACGTCGATTTGGTTGGGGTGAAACCCGTGTATCTAGTTATCCATATAGGATTTGTATGATGTTCGATATAATAAAGAATAACCATGACTTTCTTATTTATATTCCCCTTCAACATAATCTTACGAGCTGCGAAACTTACCTCCCGCTAGATTGCTATCTCGAGTAGTGATCGACCGAACCCTGAGCGTCTGACAGGACCAAAGCGCCGCAACAGTGTATTTAAATGAGGGGGTGTTGAATGCTAATTTCAACTTGAACTAATCAACTTCATGTTCTTGAAAACACACAACTCATCTAAAATAACCAAAGGAACACTGAAATGGACCAATTTCGTCTCAATATCACCTTCCCCTCTTCTTTAATCCTCAGTCTTTTACCGTTTCTGATTTACTTCCTTTACACCCAAATCTTGACACCCCTCTTCCGCCCCGACCTCAGCCAGATTCCAGGCCCAGTCCTCGCAAAACTCACAAACCTTTACCGACTAGCCTTAGTGAACACTGGATCCGCACACATCCATCACCAAGCCCTCCACAAGCGTCATGGACCATTCATTCGCCTAGGCCCCAATACAATCTCAATAGGCACACCAGCCGCGATACCAATATTATATAATACACGCACCCGATACCCCAAATCAGCCTTCTACCCTGTAATGGGTAACGTTGCGCATGGGAAGGTCATACCTACAATCTTCTCCACTCAAGATGAGGCAGTGCACGAGAGGATGAAACGGCCTATTGCGCAGGTCTATGCCATGACGAATCTAAAGACCTATGAGGCTCTTGTTGAGAGTACCGAGGGTCTATTCGTGAAGAAGTTGGAGATTTTAGCGGATGAAAGGAAGGCTTTTGATCTGGGGGCTTGGATGCATTGGTTTGCGACCGATGTTATCATGGAGATCACGTTTGGGGAGAGGTTTGGGTTCTTAGAGAGGGGGAGGATGTAGGTGGAATTCTAGGAATGATCGAGAAGAGGTTTTGGTATGTTGCTGTGGTTAGTATAATATTCCCTTCTCAGTCATGATCTTTGCGCATATGGCTCTGGCTCCAATTGATGGGATCTGGTGATCAAATGATGATTTATAACCTTGACAGATCGGTCAAATGCCCTGGCTCGATAAGTTCCTCCATAAGAACCCGCTCATTGCCTTTGTTTCGGGAATCCTCTCGAATAAATCAGTATCTCCTGTTCTGGCATTTGCTCTTGAGCGAATAAGAGAGCGGAGAATAGAGCGTCGTGAGCAACCCGAAAAGAACGTTATGCGGAGGGATTTTTTGGCTCGGTTTTTGGATATCCAAGAGAAACGTCCAGATATTCCTGATTCGTGAGATAATCTCCTCTATACTCCTGCTTGTTTTCTTATCTCCTCGGCTAATACAAATTTCAGCTGGATAATATCTTGGTGTCAACAAAATGTGCAAGCTGGTTCCGATTCCACGGCGATTACATTGACATCAGTGTTCTACCACCTCTTGAAAGATCCAGATTCTATGGAGACTCTGCTTGCAGAGTTGGATAATGCACATCTTTCATCCCCAGTTCAGTGGGATGTTGCCCATAAGCTTCCTTATCTCGACGCCTGCATTAAGGAAGCATTAAGGATGACTCCGGCGATAGGTATTCCATTGGAGCGTGTTGTCCCGCCGGGGGGTATAGAGGTTTGTGGGAAATATTTTAGAGGTGGAACAGTGCTCGGTGTGAACGCTTGGGTTGCGCACAGGGATGAGGAAGTATATGGGGTCGATGCTGATGAATGGAGACCCGGACGATGGATTGATGCAAGTCAGGAGAAGAGGAAAGAGATGGAGCGACTGTTGTTCGCGGTTAGTTCTGCAACTCGGCTTTGACCCTATTCAGTATTGACATTCATTCTATCAGTTTGGAGGGGGGTCAAGAGTCTGCCTTGGAAGGAATATCTCATACTTGGAGATGTATAAGGTTATTCCAGAGGTGTTGACACGATTCAAGGTATGGAACAGGTCCCTGCTTGTGAATAATCTCGAAATAGCTTATTGATCAGACATTAACGATCTTATTTAGTTTGAGCTTACGCACCCACACAAGGAATGGTCTTTGAATAATGGATTCTTCACCTACACCAAGGGCGTTGAAGTCACAATTCAAAGAAGAGAGAGGCCAGGGAAAATTTGAGCTGGGCAGTCGCCCCTTGGTTCTCGACTCGCCTTTTCACCTGCAATCCAGACCGCTGAGCAAGACTCGAAAAGGCCCACAAATAACGGTACTTCTTCCCCCAGAAGGGTACTTGCGCTTCTAAGCTTTCCATATCAATATTTATATCTTGCCCATGGGTCTCATCCGCAGATGCAATATCTTTCTCCATAGAGTCCAACCCAAGAAAATCAAATGGTATGGTATTATCATTACCAAGGTTCTCAATTACTTCAAAGTTCATAGAGGGCTTGAATCTCAGCACTTAATCTAGGCTTGGGAATTGGGTGGTCGGTCTGACGCACTTTGGTAGGGGTGGGAGAGTATGACTTTAGGCATTCTGATTGGTTGGCGAGACTGACTAAGCGGGTGACTTGGCAAAGATAGAATGAAAAGAAGTGTAAAAAGGTGAGTGTACTATAAGCGGGAGTGTGCAATAAGCGGGAGTGTGCAATAAGCGGGAGTGTGCAATAAGCGGGAGTGTACTATTAGCGGGAGTGTACTATTAGCGGGAGTGTACTATTAGCGGGAGTGTACTATTAGCGGGTGTACTATAAGCGGATGTACTATAAGCGGGAGTGTGCAATAAGCGGGAGTGTGCAATAAGCGGGAGTGTGCAATAAGTGAGAGTGTGCTATGAGCGGTGTACTATAAGCGGGAGTGTACTATAAGCGGGAGTGTACTATAAGCGGGAGTGTACTATAAGCGGGAGTGTACTATAAGCGGGAGTGTACTATAAGCGGGAGTGTACTATAGGCGGTGTACTATAGGCGGTGTACTATAAGCGGGAGTGTGCTATAGGCGGTGTACTATAAGCGGGAGTGTACTATAGGCGGTGTGCTAAAGCGGGAGTTAAATGTACACCCACATATGTTAATTCCCTATATGCCAGTGTCTGGATTATTATATGTGAATAGTCAGTGTTAAAGCAGCAAGCCGGGCTAGCTCAATCGGTAGAGCGTGAGACTCTTAATCTCAAGGTTGCGGGTTCGACCCCCGCGTTCGGTTCTTTTTTGAAGAAAGTCACTGATTTTTTTGCCTACTTCGCCCTAATGATGATAGAAATAACGTTTTGAACTTGATCAAAAAGTACAACGCAACTTCTATGGGCTTAATAGGGAACAATTGAGCTTCCATTTCATCCACTTTAGACCAATATCACCTGGGCACTAAGCCATGCTATTTCATATCAGCATTCTCCCAAATTGCCTTATCCTCGCCCTTTAATGCCAACTCAATCATGCACTTAGCGAGGACATCCACTTTAACCGACGGCCCTAGCCCATAGAGCAAACTGTGCAGACTCATTTTCGGCGAGATTATCATGGCAGGCCGCATAATATACGGCTTGAAATCCGCATGAGCCCTAGCAAAATCCAACAGTTCAGTCTCAACTTGTCCCTGCGTCAATAATCAGTAATCTAGTTTCTCAAATTTGAAATTAAAACTACTATCAATACGTACCCGAAGGCGCCGATAATCTTGCATGATCCACAGTGACTTGCTCTGATCCCGCTCTGTGCCCGCACCACTGATATATACGAAGCGGAAGGGTTTTCCACATACTTCTTGAAACACCCGGGCTGCTGTCAATGTGTATTCAATACTGACACGTTTTGCGGTCCCGTCGTCGCGCTTGGGAACCTTGCTGGGTATCAAACCGATTGTCCTGTAATAGTAACTTATTAAAGGGATGTACCAGTGAGTGTTATTTTTCTTTTGGAGGGTGATTTGTACCAAATACATGCATCTGCACCTTTGATATTCTCACGAACGGATTCTGAATATGAAAGAAAATCCTCGATCACGACGATCTTGAGTTTGTCGTGCGGTGGTAGCTCACGTCGACTCAGTGCTACGACCGAGGTAATAGCTGGGTGTGCCAGACACTGGCTCAGGACTTCACGGCCCACGAATCCGGTAGAGCCTGTAAGTATGACTTTCATAATGGGAGTGTAATTGTTTAGCAAAGCGTTCAAATGGTGGTAGGTGTGTTGGATGATGACAGGGCGTCTTGTGAAACTCGTGACTCTTATCTCCGGTCACAGCGTTATCTCCGTATGTACTGTTCAACTCCCATCAGTTAGGACTTCCCAAGGAGGTTGAAGAGATTAATATCAATCAAGATAGGATATAACTTGATAAATATAAGTGAATTGACTGCCTTTCTATCGATACATATGATAGGCACGGGACACCTCAACCCGTAAAGCTGGTGAGTACCGGGCTTTTCTATCCGATTTGCGGAATGAGGTATGATATCAACATGCGGAAGGCACCAAACATAAAATGAATGATTGAATGGCTTTGCCATCCACGACTATCAAGGTCTATATCTAGCGGAACTTTTAGTGCGCAGACAAGTAGGGTATATGCGAATGCCTTCAAATGGATGATTGCCCTGCCAATGTCTGCTTCTAGATGCACAATATAAGGTTTCATGCATAACGATTTGGAACAGATTTGGGTTGCAGGCATGGGACAATGATGGGATTGGGGTAAAAAAAGAGTAGAGGTCCGGTTGTGCTGTAGATTCAAAATTAAATCAAGCTCATATACAGTATCTGACCCATTAAAGAAATGATAGAGACTAGGGCTTTGCATACAAACCGAATCCCTTGGTCCTTCATTTCCCAACATGGGGCACGGTACTCTCCCAATGCAATCGGGCAGTCATCGGAATCCTATAAGAAGGCTCACACTCGACCTTAGTGTTTACTGTGGGTCGCGCAAAGCCCATTGCCAAGTAGAGATCGCCCAAGCAGGTAGCCGAGCGGGACAGATAGCCAGTCAGCTCCAACGAATGATGCGAACGGGTCCAGGAGGCTAATTTACTTTCAGAAAAGATAAACCCCGACTCCACTCGATTAAACGTGGTCAGGAAAGGATCATACATACTGTAGATGGACCCTTTCTCACAATACCCAATCACCATTCATTCGTGTGCCTTGTCATTGGTCCGCTCGCAACTCGCAGGATGAGGAGATGGAGCCATCGTACAGCCTTGCACTAACAATTCGAGTTCCTTCAAAAGCCGAACAGCCCCCAAGTCCCGAGTGCGCGAAAATATTCCGCTTCTCGAACTCCGATGCTTTTCCTACAGTCCCTGGCCCTGGTGGCTGCGGCCGCCATAATGATGCCAGCAATGGCTGGTGCAGAGAGCACGGCGACATCAACGACCACGATTCACCTGATGGAGAGACTTATCACCGAGAATATGACTTTGCTAGAAGGAAGTGTGATCTCGGCCGACGCGACAGCCACTACGCTCGAGCTGGATTGTCAATCTTCAGTATACTCAATCTGCACTTCTTCCGGTATGCTCTGGCCACAGACTGTTACCGTCGGTCCCTCCATCCAAGGCATGAATTTCGATATCACCACTTACTATGGTTCGACACTGTGGATTGTTTCGGGGAATGCGTCGTGCGTGGTTACGAATTCCTCAATGGGTGCTGATTGTGTGATTACCACAAGCTCATGGTATTCTGCTGGCACTACCGTTAATTCATCGTCGGTAGACGGAGCCAGCATTACCCTCGAACCGACTCTGGCGTTCGCTACAATTCCTGTTGTTTCGGGGTTGGATAAACTTGCTGCAACTACCACAACCGATGCTTCACCTGCCAGCACTGCTACTGCGACATCGGCACCGAACACTGCTACCGCGACGGCAACGAATAGTCCCACTGCCTCTTCTTCATCATCCTCTTCCAATGCCTGGATCGCGGGCCCCGTGGTGGGCGCTATAGCCGGAATCGCTTTGGTCGGAGCATTAGCATTTTGGTACTTCCGACGGACTCGCAAGAGCACTCGAGATGCAGAAGGCGCCGATTCTACTGGGGATGCAGGAGCCGCGGGAGCCGCAGTTTGGGACGGACGACGAGAACTACAGGGCAATTATGAGCCTCCAGAGCTTCAAAGCAATGCACCGCCCTCGGAACTTCATGCAGACGCGACTAAGGTCGAACTGCCAGCGACGCAACTGGATTTCGACAAAAAGAGACAGATGGAGACACAGCATGCTGCTCATGAGCTGCCGTGAATGACCACTGCGGTTATAAGCCCAGCACATTGATATACCCACACATTTGCATTTACATATATCATCAGCATTAAGAGCGACGGATCCTTTTTAATATTTGCGTTTTCAATTCCAACAAGCTTGAAAGGCCTTCCATCTATATTATTTCACAAAGCACAAACATTCCAAAATTATGACCAAAGAAATCTCTGTGTGCGGTAGGTTATGTGTTCCTACAGGAGAACCTGTCCGGGCATAACCTAGCCCCGGTTTTGGCCCACAATATATTCAAAGACGTGGCAGAGAGTGGACTCGCCAAACATGAAGTTTTCTACCATTGTCAAACACAATGACTCCACCGAAGGAGAACTAGGAAGATGTTATACACAAGGACAAGAAGAGGCAGAGACGGGTGCAACATGCCTCTGCAAAGAAATCATCACAGCCTCTGTATCAGGAACAATGACCTCCACGGTGCCATTGGTAACCTGTAGCGTCTCGCTCTGAGGACCATTTAGGAAATGTCCCTTTCCCTCATCCACACGATAACTCCACTGCTCTCCCGCCCAACTGGTATTCTGCTCCGGACCTCCATTATCAAACCCAAGAGCGTAGGCACCATAGTCCGAGCGCATGCGCTGCACCACCACTGACTGGGTCTCATTACCCACATTCAACGTGACGGTAGTGTTTCCTCGAACATTTTCCGTTGCGTTCGCATCATAATGCCACTCTTTCAAATTGAGGACGGCGATTCTGGACGCATGCTCGGACTTCAGATCATACATCGCATACGCAGAGAGAAGTGTGTCGCCGAGCAACTGATGGATCTTTCCAAGCGAACCTTCCTTGCCCATGAAGTCCGTAATGAATGCCGCAGCAGGGAATTGCCCCTGAACTGCTGGCCCGGTAGTTTGTGGCCCAGAGTTATCAGGTACCCAGAACCCGTGTGTGGCGGTTGGCTCTTGGGTATTGGTGATTTGTTTAATTCCAATGCTCATTGCTTTCAGATGGATGTCCACGGCCCAGATGCCTGCGCCGAAGCCACCAGCAAAGTCTGGTGGGCTGTTTCCAATCGCTGAGCCTATTTCGGAGATGACTAGGGGGAAGGATAGGTTTTTGCTTCGCATCCAGGCAGTGTCACGGGCGTAGCCTTCGAGGACTTGGCTAGTGCGATTGTGAGCCATGAGTTGCCCTGTGAGTTCAAAGCGGTGGGTCAGTATTATATTTATCGTGTGCGAGATCGGGCGGATTCTTCAGATTACTCACACTGCAACACATCTGTTGTGTAGTATTCTGCTCCGGGTTGCTTTCCGATGATGTCCATCTGGTAGAGGTGATCCGAAGCGTATTTATTTCGACCATTGAGAGCGGCCGGGGCACTAAGAATGTCCTCCCTATTTGATGTTGTCAGCTTGAATAGCACTGGCCTGCATATATATGAGATATATGGAAAGAGATAACCCACAAGGTGAACAATGGGAAGATCCCCTGGATAACCTCACTGGCAACCTCGCCAATCTGAAAGATTCGAGTCTCGTTACCTTCCAGCTGGAATTCTCTGATGAACTCATCTTCAATAGCCAGCCCTTTATTGACATATTCAGCAGCAGTCCACGCCGGAAGATCGTTGGGATAGTATTCCGGCTCGTTGCCTAGTGCAATCGCCTCAACGCGGTCCTGACCAAGTGCATTCCAAGCCAGTCGCAGAAAGGTCATGGTATTATTCATGGAAGCCGTGTTCATGGGTGCCTGGATAGTCATCGATGCGTTCTGCAGACGCTTCATGATATTGAAGTAGCTAGGACCAATAGTAAAGGTGCTAGTACTATCACAAACCTCGACATCGCAAGTATAGGGCTCTGTTAGGCTTTCGTTATAGGTGATTTTATCACCACTTGAACCGCCAACTCGGATGACAAGTGGCGCACTCATCCGTGCTGCGATTGCATTGACAATGTTTTCGGAGAAGTCATTGTCATAGTGTGATAGAAGACCAGACTCGAGACCGAAACCGAAGAAGTTAGCGGGTACAGCCTCAGCGTCGTCGGGCGTAGTCTTTGGCACAGCGATACTATAATGGTTTGTTGTATCGAGTGCTTTAATATGCACCGACAGAAGAGAAATCACTATGAATGACCGAGAAAGCATGGCGTAGAAGGAGGGTTTGCAGGAGTGGTTTCTAACACTCAAACTCTGCTAACGCAGTGACCATTATCCAGGTACATATACAGTCGATCAGGAACAGGGATCGACGGTTCCCAAAAATTGTACCTGAATATTCCATTATGGCCTTGACTAGAAAGAAGTTGAAAATTTAGGCAAACACCATGTTTTTCGTAGATCCTCATCAGAACGAGCTGAGTTGGTCTTGGAATTCAATCACTGATTCAATTGAAACGAAGCCGCTCAAAATTTGGATAATTTTCCAAAAGTAGGTATGATATACTGTGCAGAAAATCCTGGCCCCACTTGTCCAGTCTTACTGGATCGCGGCTAGGAACCGTTTTTAGGACGGAGCTTGTGTACCCAGATGAGTAAGTAGATCAAAAAGACAAGATCAATGTAGTTTTCTGATAAACCTGATTTACAATGTATATAGCATAATACCAAATATATGCCTGAACATGCGAATATACAGGGGCAATACGTCATCTTCGTCCCCCATGGTGAGGTCAGCATCTATAGACCCAAATCGAGGCCATTTTGGCAAATGCATCAATTGCATCTAATTCAAAAAAAAATATGTATACAACCAAATCACCATGACCACATGTTTCCTACTGTTGATTTCGTTTCTTCTGTCTTGATTAGACTTTCGCAGTCCATGGGTCTACCACAGACCCTGGAATAGAGAGGCTCAACCATGGATTCGAGCAGATCATTGGGAAATCTCGAATTTGTTTATCAACACTGAATTTCCGTTTAGTAAGCAAACATGCACGCTTGGCCAAGTGGTAAGGCGTTCGACTTGTACTAATCTTTGCCTCAAAGAGGTATCGAAAGATCGCTGGTTCGATTCCGGCAGTGTGCATTTTTGTCTCTCAACCACAATGAATCTCTAATCTGTTAACTCAATATCTTGTGTCCTTTTTTTTTCCTCTCTCGGAAGAGCCCAAAGGTGTAAAAATCTGCACTGAAAGGCTTGCAATTGGCCAATACTATGGTTGTGCATGTATGGCAACGACCTACGCGGGCGTTTCATTGACCAGACGGGAATTTGTCCTCTTGCACAAGGGTATTGGTTGATTTTATCAACCAAGAAATTGAGGCAGCAAAGTCCCACACCTATGTACAAAATTTTGCTCCTTGTTGATTATGGCATCTTTCGTTTCTGATGATTCGGAGTCCTGTTTGAGGCTTCGCTTGATATCAACAATGAAATCCTGTACTTCGGACCACTCCACCTAGAAACACTCTCTCCTGACAACAACTACCTGACTTTTATCGTCTTCTCTTCTTCCTTTCCTTTCCTTTTTCCTCATTTGGCTCCACTGCCTCGTTCCTCTGCTTCTCCTTTTACTTCTCTTACTCTTGAACGTGATGATTTGTTAGACAGACCGAATGATTCACTCCAAATTGCCATCATCTGTTCAGAAATGACAGGACATGCAAACGTGTCACCAGCTTCTCAGTCGATTCTGTCAGGCAGTAGCCATGCAGCAAGTGAGGTATAGCCAGCGAGGTCGTGAAACACGAGATGGATCGCTTCCCAAGTTGAGCGTCGGTCCAGCTGAGTACCTCATTTCGCTTAGAATTTGTCGTTGTAGATATCTCTCTGGTTCTGTAGCTACAGTATGATTGATCACCAGTTACGATTAGATGCTATTCCAGAGTGTCCAGGTGCAAGATAAGACAAACGTCTTGATTGGCCTTATTATGTAAATGTACTTCCAAGGTACAATGTATCCTTCTCAGATACTACTACACACGGTGACACTGAAACGGGACCATTAAATTGACTTTACTCGAGGATAATTGCAGAGTCCATACTCTTTGGTTCCCATACCCAAAGTTCAGGGGGTTCAACTTGGTCTAAGATGCAAATAATATTTTCCCTAGCATATTTGCTATGCAACAGGCTTCACAGAAGTGCAAAGTTGTCTTCGACTACGAAGTATGTTTTTAGGAAAGTAACAAGTGACGCACATAACTGGATTATCAGGGGTGGATAGCCTCCAAAATCTACTGCAATAAGCAAGTCTAATATAAGTGAATTTAGTAATAATCGGTCTAAGCACTGTACTCGTCATGATCGTAGAAGGGAGATTTTCATATCCCGGAAACACAAAAGCCACAGTGGGAGATAGAAAAAAAAAAATGCAAACTCCGGACGCCTTCTATGCCAGAATCGCAGAGAACTGTTCCCATTTTATTGAGGTGCGCACTGCACAGGCTCATCATCCTCTTCTTCATCGTCCTGCCAGGCCGAGCCACCATTGGTATCGCGAGCGCCAAACTCCTCCATGTTACCATGCGGGTCGTACTCGACTTCATCCACAGGGGCGGCCTCGATGGGCGCTTCAGGCTTGGGAAGCACCTCCTGCAACTTCGCCAGGACCTCGGGAGTCGGTTTCCATGAACCCTCGGGGAACACCACATTCACCACCAGGTACAAGTCACCACGAGAATCACTGCGCTTGATCGGCATTCCTTCGCCGCGGATGGTAAGAACCTGACCGGGCTGGAGAACAGTACCGGGAGAGTGCTTGATCTCAATACCACGACCGTCAAGGTGCTTCAGGACAACACGGTGGAAACCAGTCAAGGCCTCGGCCAGGGTGACATTAATCTCAGCCCGGAGATCGGCACCGCCACGCTCGAACACTGGGTGCTCATCTTGAACCAGACGGAAAATAATGTCGCCATGCTCCTGGCCTGGTACTTGGTCGGCCTCACCCTCGAGAACGATCTTCTCGCCATCACTAAAGAACAAGGATCAGCTTGTTATCCCCACTCGCGTTGCGAAGAGTTCTTACCGTGCACCGGGAGGGATATACATCTCCAGCATCTTCTTCGCCTCGACAATCTTGTTGCCCTTGCACTTCTTGCACTTGTCCTTGGGGCTGTAGAACTGGCCCTCGCCATTGCAAGTGCTACAGGGCTGAGTGGCCCGAGTGATGAACTGGCCCATGTTCTTGAGCACTTCCCGAACTCCCTGACCATCACAAGTTGAGCACTTCTTAGGCTTTGCTCTCTCCTTACCGCCCCTGCCGTCGCAAAGACTGCAAATGATATTCTTGGTGCTGGCGAACTTGACCGTCTTGCCCTTGTACATGTCTTCCAGACTGATTTCGTAATCTTGCTCTTCGTTCGGGCTTTTGCGAGGCTTGCCACCGGGCATACCGCCCATACCGCCCATGCCGGGCATACCTCCCATACCTCCCATACCGGGCATGCCGCCCATGCCACCCATGCCGCCGAACATCTGTGCCAAAAGATCATCTAAATCTGGGCCACCACCCATTCCACCCATGCCGGGCTCACCGGAACCGTTGAAGGCGGACATGCCATGTGTGTCATATATATGGCGTTTGTCTTCATCGTAAAGGATCTCGTATGCCTCCTGGACAGCCTTGAACTTGATTTCGGCGGCGGGGCGCTCTTCTTCGGCGACTTTGTCAGGGTGGTTGGAGAGCGCAGCCTATTTATCATACAGTCAGTCTTACGTATCTCCAAGGTCTGTAGGGGGAGCCAGTACCTTGCGATAAGCCTGTCGAACTTCCTCCTTGCTCGCGCCGCGGTGGATTTCGAGGACCTCTGTAGCCAGAAAGACTATATTAGTCTTCCACCCAATCATATCACCTGATAGATACTGCTATACATACCATAGAGATCAATTTCAACACCAGACACTGCAGTCTTTGTTAGCAAATGACGAACAGAAGAGGATACGAAAGAGAACAAAACAGAAGCAGCGCGCTTCTGGGGGACGACGTACTGTTTGCGTACTTTTCCTACACGAAATTGATGAGAAAAGTAGTGCTTGGTAAAACGCTTGAAAGCAATATAGAAAAGCACTTCACCGCAAAGCGAAAGTGAAGGCCAAATGAGATAAGAGAAGATGTTGATCAAGCGGAGTTTGCGGGCGAAATTTTGTCAAGGAAGCTTCGGTGCGGAGCCGCCCAAACTTCTCCGCAAAAAAACCGAGAAATTGTCCGAGTCATCTTTGAACCTCTAAACAAAGCAACCTCCTCAGATTAGACCTCCATGCCACGTCCTCATACGGGGCTCTTTGCCCGGCGATCATGGACCTGCATTCAATGCAGAGCCCATTCATCCACCGCGGGCGCGCAAGCTCGCAAGGGCAAAACCAACCTCCCGGATGCACCTGCGCGCACGCGTTTTGCGCCCTCACCGACCGGTTATCTGCACCTTGGGTCTTTGCGGACCGCTTTATTCAATTACCTACTCGCGAAACGAACCGGTGGGCAATTCCTGCTACGGATTGAAGATACCGACCAGGTTCGTATACAATGGGATGGACATACATGGGGTGATGAATGGCGACTGATTGGCGCAGAAACGAACAATCCCTGGAGCGGAACAGAGACTGTATGATGACTTACAGTGGGCAGGACTTCATTGGGATGAGGGTATAGCCATCTTATGCGCGTCCATATTGAACTGAACTAATGAGATAACAGGTCCTGTTGTCGGTGGCCCATATGGACCTTATAGACAGGTATGGTGTTACCTTAGTACACTGTTAGCATTGAGCCTCGACTAACGTTTCTAATGCATAGTCTGAGCGTACCGCCTTGTACCGATCTCACGCCGACGATCTGATCTCCAATGGCCATGCCTACCGATGTTTCTGTTCCTCCGAACGACTCGATTCCCACGCCCGCCACCGAAGCTCTGCAGGATTACCTCCAGGATACGATCGTAAATGCGCCGATATTTCTTCTGAAGAGTCGGACGATCGGGCCCATAAGGGGGAGGCGCATGTCGTTCGGCTGAAGGTTGAGGGATACCCCATGTTTAACGATCTGGTATACGGCAAGACGGGCCAGAATAAGCCCAACAACAACAAATTGGACTTCATTGATCGCGTGTATGATGATCCGATCTTGATCAAGTCGGATGGTCACCCAACATATCATTTGGCAAATGTTGTGGATGACCATTGCATGGAGATCACACATGTTATCCGGGGCACTGTAAGTCTATATACTTGCACTTATACACCAATGGTTTCTAACCCAGAGTCAGGAATGGATGCCCTCCACACCTATGCATATGGCATTGTATAATGCATTCAAGTGGACACCTCCGCGCTTCGGCCATGTTCCTCTGCTAGTGGACAAGTCTGGACAGAAACTGAGCAAGCGAAACGCAGACATTGACCTTTCTTCGTTCAAGGATCAGCAGGGAATCTTCGCGGCTACATTGGTCAACTTTGCTTCTCTCCTGGGCTGGTCTCATCTACAAAAGTCCGACATCTTCGACTTGAGCGAACTTGAGAAGATTGTAAGTCTTCTATATGCCTTAATTTACAAATGCCTGCCTGCTAACATGTTTCAGTTCAATTTGAAAATCACCCGTGGCAATACTATAGTTGCTTTTGAGAAACTCTGGTTCCTTCAAAAAGCGCATGCCCAGCGGTTTGCAGCAACTGGAGGTCCCGAGTTTGACGAGATGGTCAACAGAGTATGCAACGACGTCAAAGAAAGCTACTCTCAAGAAGATCTGTAAGCATCTCTATCATCTTAGCCAGTCTTCCGCCATGATCTAACAAATTCCAGTGCTCCTCTTCTCAAGGGTCGTACTCTTGCCGAATACGTCGCTCCCCTCCTCCGCGCTGACGCCAAATCCTACACCACAGCGCCGGAATTCAAGGAGCGCAACTCGACATTCTTCACCACCAAGCTCGATCGAGCCCCTTACGAACCGACCTCAGTTTCCAAATCTCCCTCGCCACCATCAGTCCCCATGCAAGCTCTACACACCGCAGCAGCCGCTCTAGCCCTCGTTCCACCCAGTCATTGGACGATTGAAACTCACCGTTTCAACGTTAACTCCTACGATGGCTCTGATGCTGTCACCATGTCATCTGAGATGACCGGTTCGACGGATAAGGTCTTCAAGAAGGAACTCTACCACTACCTTCGCTGGGCCCTGTCTGCCTCGGCGCCTGGTCCTGGTATCCCAGAGACGATGACTATTCTCGGGAGAGATGAGACTGTTCGCAGACTCCAGGATGCTAAGGCCTTGACGCAACATCTTGTCCCTGCTGTGGGTAGACGGGTACCCAAAGGTAAGCAGACCATGGGTGACGATAGAAGCTGGATGGGTTCTCTTGCTGGTGGGCAATAGAAAGCTCTTTGTATGAGTTGAGCATGTATTATATCATCTTTGCTGGCTGCGATGTACTATTATTAGTATGTAAATGAGAATTAGAACCTTATGTACCATCACTCTCGATATCTCAAAGAACATGGTCAGGAAATCATCTCAAGTACCTCAACTGGTATTCATTCTGTACAAAGAAGGGGCACACATTCTATTCCAACGAAAAACGCAATGATAGTATGTGGACAATATGTTCCATTTATGCATTTAAACAATTCGCTCTTTTTTCAGCATCCCATCCTCTACTCCTCTTTTTCACTATGTTACAAAAGTGAGCACATCACAATATTCTAATGCCATGTTTAATGTTCCTCATATACCCCGATCAGGACGACTGGGTGGCCGCCTTCTTAACCTCCTCCTTAACCCAAGCCTCGAGTCCACCTGCCGCAATAATGGCCTGCACGTTGGCGGGTAGCTCACCGACCTGCTCAGTCCAGGTCTCTCCGTTCTCTCCCTCACGCACCTCGACGCAGCTACGCTTCACGTCCCAGGTCAGGGTCCAGCCAGTGCGGCGGGTTGACTGGCGCTCAGAGTCAGCGAAGGTAGCACGCAGACGCTCAACAAGACGCGGGACTTCCAGGCCCATAAGCGCGTTGTTAATACTGTTTCGGGAGAAGATGTTGCCGAAGCTGCCAGCTACGACAAGGGGAATCTTCTTGGCCAGAATGGCGGTGGCGGCCTGCTCTCGGGAGGAACCACAGCCGAAGTTGAAGCCAGAAACGAGGATGTCGTTGGGCTTGGCGATCTCCTTGAAGCTAGGGTCGTAGTTCATCATACAGGCGAGAGCCATATCCTCCTTCGAGACGTTGTCTTGGTATGTTAATTTTCCGGGGTAGATGTTATCGGTGTCGAGGTTGTCCATGTCACAGAAGACAATCTCACCGCTGATCTTCTCGGGGAAGCCGGGGAGGATCTCGGTGGCAGCCTTCTCTTCACCTCCGGCCGAGGACTCGACACGGTCGATGAGGGATTCCATCTGCTGGATCATGTTGTCCAGAGCGCTCTCAGTGGAGGGCTCGGCACCAGTGCCGAATCCGTGCTCCACACCGGACCAGCCCTCGGGCACCTGGTAGGCACCGGGGCCAGAGATAAGACCGCTGAGGGCACTGGCAGCCACAACCTCGGGACTGGCCAGGTATGCCTTGGCATCACGCGAACCCATACGTCCCTTGAAGTTACGGTTGCTGGCACTGATACCAACCTCACCGGGCTCCAAAAGACCCTTTCCGAGACCAATGCAAGGTCCGCAACCAGCAGGCAAAGGCTGGGCACCAGCATCGAGCAAAGCCTGCCAGTCACCGGCGGCCTCGGCAGCCTCCTGTTCGGGGGCGGAAGCAGCAGCAATGTACAGCTGAACACCATCAGCAATCTTGGGGATCACATCGTTGTTCTCCTTGGCGGCGTCCTTGAAGACCTTAGCGGCGGCCGCAATGTCGGAGGCACGCGAGTTGGTGCAAGAGACAATGTATGCGCGGTTAACCTTGATGTTCTGCTGGACGAGCTCGTTTAATGGGGTGGCGACCTTGACTGAGTTGGGGCCGGAAACGTAGGGCGAGAGGGTGGAAAGGTTGAGGTAAAGCTGCTTAGCGTATTGAGCATCGGGATCGGCCTTGAGGGGGTTGGCGAATAGCTCATCGACACGCTCGTGAGTAATACGTTCGCGAGTTGTGCGGTCATCAAGCATAGCTGCCTCGGTAGCCTTGTATCGCAACCAGCGTTCTAGGGTTCGGTCAATAGGGAAAAGACCAGTGAGCGCACCCCACTCAGTTGTCATGTTGGCAATGGTCATGCGGCTATCCACACGAAGGCTGGACATGGTTTCTTCGGAACCGGTGAACTCAATAGCGTGGTTGAGGACGTCGCTGTTGAACAATCCGCACAGCGCAACAATCACGTCCTTACCGGTCACGCCTACGGGAAGGGTTCCAGTGAGGGTGACCCGCGCAACAGGCGGGATCTGCCACCATGTTCGCGAAGTGGCCCAAATACTAGCAGCATCTGTGCGCACAACAGCAGTACCAAGGCAGCCAACACCACCGTAGTGGTTGCTGTGGCTGTCAGAGGCTACAGCCATAGTTCCTGGCCAGGCATAGCCCTCTTCCACCATAACCTGGTGTCCAATACCTCGGCCCGCAGGGTAGAAGTCGATACCGTGCTGTCCAGCAAAGGTCTCAATTTGCTTGTATTTCTTAAGGTTCGCTTCGCTGGTGTTCTGGACATCGTGGTCAAGGGTCATGACGATCTGCTTGCGGTTGTGAACCTGCGTAGCTCCCATGGACATGAACTTGGTGGCAACGGGCCACGAGTTGTCGTGGGTCATGCAGTATTGGGGTGCAAGACTGATATAGTCGCCGCTACGGACGAACTTTCCTTCGGGGAGACCGACTGCATAGCGCTGAACGATCTTCTCTGTCAAGGTCTGGGGTGTCCGCTTCTCGGCCTCGGTCTCAATCTCGGAGAAGTTGATTGAGGAAGTACCTTGCTGGGAGTTCAAGGCTTCGGCTTGAGCAATGGCGGTTGTGCTAAGCGAACGAGGAGCGAAGGGAGTCGCAATTGATCGCAATTGAGGCTGAATTCTTCTAGTCGGGAGGGCGACCGATGGAGTCAGAAGAGGCCGGCGCCAAACCTGGAAACGTTAGATCAAATAGGGTAGTTTTCAGATGATTGTGTACTCACAGGCCGGCGCATCAGCGCACACAAATGCCTAGCCATGCTGATCAAGTATATGAAAAGATATGTATAGGTGAGTCAACAGAGAAATTTCGCCTGCCGACTTGCCAAGAACCGATGCCGGCACCGGGGCACGTGTCATGTGATCTTTGATCCCCTTCCCCAGCCAAAGCCTGTCTCGTGATTTCAAAGCATGACCGTGTCACGTGACATATTTGATCCACTTATATTCATATTCTGTGGGGAGTGGCTTCTCTGTTCCGTTGCATTGTAGTTTACTTATGAGACTTGTTTTGCGCCTATTTAAACTTTCATGTTGAATTTAATATGATCCAGGATCTCATGCTATCTCTTATCTTTACTACAAACCGTGTTATGATGTCAGACATAAACATAGCGCACAAGATACTCTATACTAGCGGGTAAATCCACATGTACGTAATGCCAACTATGCCCCAGTTTGAACCCCAGAATATAAAGCCCCACATGTTATATAGCAAGGATCACTGCTGTGCGCTGTCTGTACGCTTGAAATTGAGCTCCGAAACAAGGATGTTCCTCAGATCCCTTCTTATCCTGTATCACGGAGATTGCAGTACACGTGCAACTCGACCGTTAATGTGTTCATCTTACGAGAGCATGGTAGTTTTATTCTCCGAGTCATTACCTGAAGATATGTAAGAAAAGGATACAGTTTGCTTCATCGGGACGTATTCATTGGAGATATGAAAATCGTTGATAAGTCATAGGTCCATACAGTGCCCAAGCCCGAGGTCCCGAAATCTCGGCTTTGCCGCTATCAAAGATTATTTTTCCCCTCCTCCTAGCAATGACTCATTCAACAAGGATGAGGCTGAAGTTTACTTTGAATTTATACATATAATCTGAGATGATCCAGTATCTAGCCTAATAATCTTGAGATATCATTCATTCTATCATGGCTCACCTTTCCCAGCCCGCATACACCTCAACCCACGATGTCTACGATGCGCTTCCGAGCGGCAAAGACCCGCGCCCCAGCGCTGTAGATACTTACTTCAAAACACACCTCCATTCAGCAGATTATCACAATGCCTTGGAAACAATTCACCGCGATTCTCTTACCGCCGGCCTACCCGACATAGCTTGCTCCGCGCCGCAAGCCAAATTCCTCATGTTGCAGGCCCGCATGTGCAACGCAAAGCGAATTCTCGAAGTGGGCACATTGGGTGGGTATAGCGCCGCATGGTTTGCCATGACTAGTCCGCAGACGAAAGTGACTACCATTGAACTTGATCCTCACTATGCTGCCGTCGCGCGCCAGAATCTGGAGAAAGCAGGGCTTAGCGAGAGGGTTGAGATTCTGCAGGGGGTGGGGACTACTGTGCTGCAGGGTATCAGAGAAGAGGTGGACCGGGGAGAACGGGAGAAATTTGACTTTGCGTTTATTGATGCGAATAAGCAGGACAATTTGGCTTATTTTAAAGTTGCGATGGATATTACCAGAGAGAGAGCGGTGATTATTGTTGATAATGTGGTGAGAGATGGAAAGGTCGCGTCTGCTGAGGAGGCAAAGAAGGATGATCGGGTTAAGGGTACGAGGGAGTTGATTGAGGGGATGGAGGAATTGGACGTTGAGGCGACGGCAATCCAGACTGTGGGAGAAAAGAACTATGATGGGTTTTTGATTGCACTGAAGAATTGAGAATGGAGATCCGTTCTTTTACTTGATTTGGAGGTTCACTGTTTCCAAGGTTAAAGAAGGGGCTCGCTGTATCAAATAAGATTGTATCAAATTGTGATGTTTTAAGTATAGACAGTCAATCATTTTGAGCTCGATTCCTGACGCGTATCCAGATGGTAATTTATTATCTAACTCCAGTATATGTTATGTGGCTTTTGGCATGTACACTTTGATAATCTATATTCGGATTATTGCATAAGGTGAAGATAAACGGTCTGGCATATCTCACCCATGATTATGTCTATTGACAAAATTGGCCTGCGGATGGAATGGATGACGCGAGGGCACAGATAAGGTACGTGGCAAAGCCCGAGTGAAGTAGCAACATTACCAATACATAGAATTAAGGTAGTGGCCAATGCACACCAAAAGCTTTTACTACTACCCAAAAAACAAAGATAACCATGTATGCAGAAGACATATTGAATTGGTAGTCGGTCTCAAGACCTTGGTATTATTGACATAATTGACTTTTCACTCGAGAATCGTGATGTCGCTTCGAAAGGCAACAATCGAGTATGGTGTCTTGTTCGATTCAAGACTCGCTATTTGATACAAAAGAATAATTCAGAATGCGACATCACTTTCACGCCCAGAGCAACTCATGGCCGGCAGCCTTGAATCGTGAGACCATGAAGCCTGGCTTGCAATTTGACTCCCAGTCCTCATCGAAGCCCGAGTCCGGGTTGTGGAGGTACTCCTTAGAAAGCATGGAGACACCGCGAGGGACGTCCAGGCCCGGTGATTCGGAACGAGTATTTTCGCCACAGGGGCAAGTTGAGGTTGTTCTAGATCCAGGTGTAGTGCAGGGGCATTGGCCTAAGGAGCGGTTGCATGGAATGCACTTGTAGTATGCCGAATGGGAGTCTTGGCTTGTAGATAGACGGACGCCGGGGAGGCCGCACTGATCGCACTTCCAGGTTTGAGTCATGATGAGAGGATTGACTAGAAAGTATTGTGTTAGTCGCTGGTGCAGGAGTATAGGCATTGGGTGGCACCGATCAATACTTACATTGAACCGTGGTTGATCGAGTAGATAGAAGTTTCCAGAAATTGGAATTGAGTGAAGTGAAGAGTAATGTTCAGTAGAGTACTCTGTGAATAGGCTGAATGATAATCGGTATTCAAGTCCGGGCAGCATCTCAATTTATAGAGATTTTGCGGGGGTGGCAGATCATTATGACGCTATTCAGACCCACGCGAGTGCGCAATTATGGGGGGGCGATCACCGTGGAATGTTCGGCAAAATCACGTAAAATAATGAAAATCTAGACTCGGTTTCATCTATAAACGGAAAGCATGGCTGGATCGGGTAAGTACAAGCCCGAGGCAAACCGAGTTTTTAGGTAATTTATCACGCAAATGGGTCAAGTGACCAGGCACGTGTGGGAAAATTACGTTCCATTTCTTGGATGTCGCAATTTCTATTATTTAATCATTGCTATTTTCAGCGGATTTCAGAAATTTGCGGAAAATGGCTCGGATGCAGGACCGCGTGATGAGGATGAAACCTCCAATTTGCTGATCCCCCGCATTTTGTCAGTCTCTGCCCAGGTACCCGTAGACTAGAACTATGAAATTTTCAATGCTACACCTAGGCTTCCTACTGTAGGTAGGCATCCTTGCCAGTGTCTTGAAAACTTTCTACTTTTCTACTTTCTAGAATACGCATATCCTGCAATCCTATCCAATCGCAATTGCTCGAAGGCGTCGTCATTCTACAGAATGAAAAAAACTCTTACCTGTAGAACAGCATCGGAGATCTACACTTCCGCAAGGCCGAAAGACCAACCTGGAATCATTTTTCCACACGATGACCAATTTGTGGATCTTAGACCTAGAACGTATATGCCTCATACGTGATGCCTCGGACCGAGTGGCGAGTTGGAAGTGAGCCGTAGAAGGGAGTGGATACCATGGCCACTCACCTGATTTCAAGGCATTTTTTTCTTGTTATGACTCATTATTGTACGAATACTACGAGGGGAGAATAATTTAGAATGCTATACTGGGAATTCAATGGTTTAGTAAAAATTGAAGGTGTAGAAGCTGTATGTACTGGCAGTACTGCTATATGCGAGGTTGAGATTTGATTCCCCCAGATTTTTCCATCCCGCGCTAGTCTAAAAATAGCTAGACCTTTCAACCCCGCCACAGGCCACGATTCTGCGCCTTTTCATCATAGAATTATGTGCTTTGTCACTTTTCTAGAGCCACTTGTTTTAGCCTATCATCTATTTTGATTTTACTGTAATGCAATGTTGTTAGCGATCTTGCACCGGACCTTCTGACTCACGTATGCAAGACATCCATCCAAGGATTACATACTCTTGGATTCCATGGGCGACAAAATGAGTCAAATGCCACCATCAACCACTCGAGTAGTAATGCCAAAGTCACCATTATCACTGACTCATACTTTGATCGTAGCAGCCAAAAGGAAATACTGTCGGTGGCCTAACACTCTACTTCCCAAGTCAAGCTACTTTATGTTATGGCATGTTAGGTACGGAGTGGTAATCTCTCAAGATAGAAACACAATATAAGGAGTCAAGACTACTCTACTCGTGCTTTATGCATACTTCAACAGGGTTCAGTCTTCTAAATTAATTACTCGTCGGCGGGGCGTAGAATTCGCGATTGCACATATACGACTGCATAATCCTCAAGCAAAGCAGCTGGGGGTGATGTCAACGCCACCGGAAGGGAAGATGAGTGGAAATTTGTTAAAGAGTGTAAAGGCTGAAGACTCGCCATATAAATTTTACCAGAAATTTGGATTTAGGGAGACAGCACCACCGGATGAAGATGGAGAGATAATGATGTCAATAGATTTGTAGATACGAATGTCTAATGCTTGGAGATCGTCCGTTTTCAAGAAGGGTAAGGTGATATACTGTTTCTTTCTTAAAACTCAAGATGAGGTTTGGGAAATAATACGTGGGATTATGTATACGTGGGAATTTTCTTTCGAATATAGCAGTATGTATTGCGCTAAAGTCAACAAATAAAAAAAATAAGGTAGAAAGAACGGCCCAGCAAAAATCCCGAGTCCCACAGGGCCCGGGAGGGAATAAGTGAACCTAAGCACCAAGCCAAAACCATAAGACAGAGAAAGTAAAGTACAACGCCATGCCACACCAGAGATAGGAGAGAACAGCATTAAAACCCGTCCACAATTGAAGAGAGAAGTCAAGTCTGAGAGACACTGAACAGAAGAAAAGACAAAATGCCAACCCTCAAGGACCGCAAAAAGCAGCGACGAATTATGAAAAAAAATTAAACAGAAGAAAGGCAGAGCATGAACAGTATTGACATGAGCCATGTCAGAATTTTGAACACGAAAGGAAATTGATACCAGGGCGAGGTCGGTGATTATTGAGTGCGGAAAGACACCAGCCCATAAGGAATCTGAGAAAGCTCAATCATAAGGGATCGTCAACGTCCGTAGATCGTGAGCCATGAGCCGTACCGAGTCCAGTCATGGGATCGTCCGTAACAAAGCGATTGCGTAACCACAGCTAATTGTCCGAGGCGCCAGTAAGGAAATTGCAATCAAATGGGAGACGCGTAAGAAAGCAGATTTTATCGGGATTAGTAGGTTTCGAAGTCATCATTCCACTCGTTGTCACTACCCGCAACACGGAGGACCTGGCCTGGGTGGGGTCCATCTGGGCTCACGCTTCTGATACCCTTGCTTTTCTTGCCCATGAGGTCCAAGCCATCATCTGGAGCAAAGCGCTTGCCTTGTCCAGCACGCAACTTGGCGTAGTAAATATCACTGGAATCAACATCGGATTCGGATCCATCGTCAAAGGTCTCCCAGTTTTCGGAACCAGAGGTGGCGGTATTAACGGTGGAGGAGTTGGAGGTTTGACGAAGTGCTGGGGGTGGTGGTGCCTGCGAGAGATACGGGTTCATACGTGGGTATCCCTGTTGGGAAGAGCTCAACGACAGCGATGACAGGGAAGAGGTAGAGGAATGTGAGAAGCCGGTTGACCGTTGAGAGTTTGACATGACAGATGCGCTCATGAAAGACCGCTGACGGTCATCGTAGACATCCTCTGGGCTGACAGGTCGGACAAAGGCGTTCGACATGGCACTGTTGCAGCGCGGGGGCTCCAAGATATGGCTGTGGCGCTCCTTCGACTCCACGGTCAAGGCACGCATGCGGGGCGGCGCATTACGGGGTGGAAGCATCTTGCTATTGAGGGTACTGGATGAATAAGTACCGGGACCAGTGCGACGTTCAGGAGAGTTGTTTCCGAGAGGCATGTTGCTCAGAGGAGCCCGCGCAGGAAGCTTGGAGGGGGAGGTGGCTCCTGACCTGGATCCACCGTATCCGATTGTGTTATGCTTCACAGGACGACTTCCATTGGGAGTCTTTGTAGCGGAGCGAGGCGGAGGAGGCCCACGCATGGAGCTTCCAGGTCGCGATGGTGGCTGCTGTCGGATAGGATTGGACTTGATGGTAGAAGGAGGAGCAGAGGGTGTCTTTGAGCGAGGTGGGGGTCTTGTGGCAGTACGAGTCAAGTTATCAAGATAGCGATCACCGTGGACCAGGAAAGGCCGGCCAAACTCATCCTCCCAATGCTCAAGCTCTTTCCGAAGGTCTGCCTCAAGCTTAGGCAAGTCCTTTGAAATACGCTTTCGCATCTTCTCTTCTCTCAAAAGCTTTCCAGGATCACGCTTCTCACCCTTATTCCCGCGAGCCATAAGACGCGAAGCATCCTGGCTGGATGTAGACAAAGCTTCACGGTCTGCCAGCAGGCCACGGTGCTTTTCAATCATCTCCAAAACAGGGGCACGTTGTTCTTTGAGGGCTTCCAATCGTTGGATCTCGCCTTCATGAGCCTCCAAAAGAGCGTCACTAAACACATCAGAGAAAGCAGGGGTAAAATCGAGCATCTCCTCTTCGGAGAAAAATAGACTATCCCAGAGTTCCTGCAAACGGACGCGAGCATCCTCGACGAATAGGTGCATGTTCTGTCTCTTGAGTTCATTGAGACGATTCAGTTCCTCCTCGAATTCATTGATGGTGCGCATACCACAACCACGATTGGCGGCCAAGAATGCCTTGCGGTCTGACTCCTCGACACCAAAGCGCTCCCACAAGCCCTCAACGGTTGCTCGGAGCTCCTTAATCTTGCGCTCACGACCCTTCTTCTCATCCATCAGCTTGTCACGTCTAGCTTTGAGGTTGGCAAGGTCGCCTTCATGCAGGCCAAGCTGCTCGGGAGAATCGCGATAATGCTTGACAATGTTGGAATCGGTCTGGACCTGGGGGGTTCCAAGCTCGGCCCACATCTTAATGATCTCCTCGGAGGTAGTCTGAACGAAGGAAACACGACGGTGGTATTCTTCATAGACGCGACTAAACTCGGAGTCCAGAGATGTAACATAATCGGGTGAAAGGTCGAAGCTTGGGGGAATAGTCGAGCCGGGTGCGGTGGGAGGCAGTTCAATGATAAGGAATGAGGCCTCCAGGTGGGAGGAGTAGGACTCGAGCGCATCGACAAGTTCTATCGGGGGTCAGCATAAAGATCTAGCATCACATTCCAGATGAACGTACTCTTGACTTGCTCAAAACGCTCGCGGTGCAACTTGGTCATTGCCTCGCACTTCTCGCGCAAGAATGCGATACACCGGTTGAGCGGGTAGGTAATGCGAACATCGTCGCGGTTCAGCTCATATTGGCCATTGGCTCTCTCGTCACCGAGAGAAACCTCTATTTGTTGAATAGTTGTGATCAGGCGCTGAGCCTCTTGTGTCATCTGCTCCTTTTCTCTTTAGGCGGTGTTAGTAAGGGCCACAATGTGAGGTGCCATTGGTGATGTACTCACTCATCAACGAGCTTCAGATGATTGTTTAAACTCTCCGACAGAGCATTGAATAGCTATATTCCTAGTTAGGTTGCGAACGGGTCAATTGCGATTCGCATAGGACTCACCTCTGCTTCGCGAGTGTCGCGCTCATGAGCAGGAACACCAATGTCATCAAAGATACCATGCAGCTGCTCCACAATATTATTGACCTGAGTGGTCAGGTAACTTGTATCGACAGCCATTTCTCCGTGCCCTGGTGGGGAGCAAGAGTAATTCGAATCAAAGAATGTGGTTCGTTCACTTCCAACAATAGGTCCACTGCGACCCCGAGGGTTGTCAACAAACAGAACCCAGAGTGTTCCGACACACGGAACCAAACTTTCAAAAACGAAGGTGGGTTTGGAGGGTGAGTTGTCAGATGCGAGACATGAAGAAGTGGGTGTGTTTATGAGGGGGATGGAGAATCAGCTAGAGGCCTGAATGATAACAGGTTCATCAAGGAAGGGCCCGTTGTTTGGCGCCGATCGTTGTCCAGGGCAACGGCTTAGTCACCGATGGTTTTCAGCTGGTGTGTGCCCATTAGATAAGCATATTTACCACACCGCCCGTCCATTCTGCCCCTTCCCCGCCCCACCGCTTTTCTCCACGGTCATCACTACATCAACCAAGCTCATTAATCCCCCTCCATAGACTTTATCGTCCCTCATTCACTTTCCCCCTCACCTCCAAGTCTTCAAGGAATCCCAATAATCTGCCGCCATACACACTCAATCAAAATGCAGGCTGCACAGCAGTCCTGGGGTTCGTACTCCTTACCCGAGAGATCAATAGCACCACCAAGCTAACTCTAATCAACATAGAGCTCGACAACTCAATCAGTGTTTTCGACCCCCAACGCGATGCGCTATACCAATACGACGCAGAAACACAAAAGAAACTGAACGATGAACGACCGTGGGCCAAAGACCCCTATTATTTCAAATATGTCCGAATCTCCGCAACAGCACTATTGAAAATGGTGATGCATGCGCGCTCAGGTGGATCCCTTGAAGTGATGGGTCTAATGCAAGGCTACATCCTCCCAGAAACCTTCGTGGTGACAGATGCATTCAGACTCCCCGTTGAAGGTACAGAGACCCGCGTGAACGCACAAGACGAAGCGAACGAATACATGGTTTCCTACCTGCAGTCATGTCGAGATGCGGGGCGAGTGGATAACGCCGTTGGCTGGTACCACAGTCACCCGGGGTACGGGTGCTGGCTATCGGGTATTGATGTGGCGACGCAACAGACGCAGCAAATGTCCGGGCCGTTTGTGGCTGTTGTTATTGATCCCGACCGGACGATCTCGGCGGGTAAGGTGGAGATTGGGTCCTTCAGGACATTCCCTCTGGATTTCACGCCTGCTAAGGAGGCTCATGAGGATGATGAGTTTCAGACTATTCCTGTTGGGAAGGCGGAGGATTTTGGAACGCATGCGAATCGGTATTATTCGCTTGAGACAACTCATTTCAAGAGTACGCTTGATTCGGATATTCTATCATTGCTCTGGAACAAATACTGGGTTTCTACGCTCAGCCAGAGTCCATTGTTCGCTTCCCGGGACTATGGTAGCAAGCAGATGGTCGATCTCAGCGATAAGTTGCGCAAAGTTTCGAGGCAAATCGAGAATTCTGGTTCGCGTCCTGGTGGGTCTGCGGTCAAAGACCAACAGCTTGACAAGGTTGTACGAGGCGGCCAACGGATTGTATCAGAGGAGGTTAAGGGTCTTATGGCATCTGAGGTCAAGTTGAAGCTCTTCCGGGATATTGGGGAGCAGCCTAAACCAGCAGCCTAAGCCCCATGTCTCATGGCCGAGTCACGAATCCTCCTTCACATACATATCGCTACGACTGTCACGCTTTCTTTCATCTTTGCATTCAGCTACAGATTTGAACTGGTGTCTTGGCGCTGGGTAGGTCAATCTTTCATATCTTCGGGAGTGGAGTCTTTCAAGTAATGTGATGAATCACACCCATAGCATCCAGCTGCATGAAATATTACCAGCTCCATGGTAGAGCCATTTTCTCAATTACAAATACAGCTGCATGTGATCTATCATCTTATGTAGCCTCGGAAACATCCCTGTCGGATGTCCAAGCCAGCTACACCTTATCGTGACCTTCATACTACTCAAAACAAGAGGTCTTGAATAGCCCCAAGCGAGGGCTTATTGACTCACTCGACGTAGGGAGTTGCATAACACTGAGTATGTATGGAAAATAGTGTTTCAAACAATAGATACAAAGAAGCGAGCCAAGACCCACACAGGGTTCCTGGTCGTATGAAAAGTCGACTTGTCAAAATTTGTGGGGTTGGGCAAGGAATTCAGACAAAAAGGTCGTGTATCATTATAGAAGACGGCGTCAAGGCATTATCTTTCCGTAGGATTTCACATCACTCCACCTTCCCCTTCCCCCTCCTGGCCATAACGAAAAGGATATATAAGAGAAGATGTTAACAAGAAGGCCAGAATATACACACCAAATGGCCAGTATGTGCGACAATCGAGTACATGAGGAGTAAAGAGAATCCTCTTAAGAATATTTCAATGCGCAGAAAGAAACAGCCGATCGAATCCCAGAAAAAGTCTATGCCAAACAAAAAGGTATATGGAACGAAAAAAATCGAAAGCACATGTATCGTGCAGCGGCAAGGAGCATAAGAGTTTGATGTTTGCGGCGATTGGGTCATTGACAATCTTCATAGAAGCATTTCGGCCCCACAATATCGCGGGGTATAAGAGGTTCATCGAACCAGATTCGTCTCAATCTCGGTAAACTAGGCATATGCAGGAGCTTGTGCAGCGGCTAGGCCGCGGTCGCATGATTCGGACATGTCCGAAATGACTCTTACTAGCCCCTGCTAATCACCAGTGGTGAAACATTGCCTGCGGGAGTTGACGACGATCAGGTATCGCGTTGATTTGATTGGAGCGCCGTTGAGTGTGGCGAAAAATGGAGCATTAGCGCCTCGATTGGCCACGGCCACCTGCAGGTGTAGCTTGACAAGGGGGTCACCGCCACAACTACAGGAAACCTGACTCAGAAAGCAATCTACGAGTTAAAGTCAAAAGCGGTTAGTTTCAACGCTCAAAACAGGTTTGAAAAGCCGTCACCGGAAAAACAACCGAAAATGTGAGGTCAAATTTGGGTATCGCCGAAAAGTGCCAAACACCACATCCCACAAGGGGAGAAAAGGGGGGAAAGCAAGAACAAATAGGTTGAAACATGATTATCGCAATAGCGCGACGGTACTCGCAAAAAGCATGGTGTTGGGCTTATTGCTAGAAGAGTCAGCATACCTTGCAATCTTCTCGTCTTCGCGCTCCCGAGGTTCGATTTCAAGACTCCGGTCGTACATGTCGTGAACATCACCAGCGGCTTGTAGATTACTGAGAATATAATCTTGAAGTTCGGGGACTGGCGAAAGCAGATAGGGCACATTCTGGTATTGCTGAATGTCCCGGATGACCTCGGCAGTCTTGGCCCGTTTGTTAAAGTTGATCAGTTCTGATGGCGTAAGGGATGGAATACCATCTTCGATAAATGTCAAATCCGTGAGATAGACACCTTAGGTAATGTTAGCTACGTTCACTAAGAGTAGAAAGAGAAGACACCGGGAGATGTCCTCGGGTGTATGGCATACCGAAGAATGGAATACAGGGAGGGTTGGCAAGATGCAGGGTTTCACGATACTCGCCAAAGTTCTTCGTGCTGGCCATCAGTCGGCGCATTTGCTCTAGAATTGCAGAAGTGCGGCCGCTGACCTGACCCCATGTGCGGCCCAGCCGATGAATAGGAGCTGTTCCAAGGGCGGATATGATGGATGTGAGGGTGGAGTAGTTGTTGAGGGCGCGACATTTATCAGCGACATTGACGAAGTGCTTGATGACCACCACGCGCTTCTTGACATCGCCTTGTGTCAAGATCATTTCAGCGACCCAGTTGGTCAGCTGGTTCGAGTGAAGAATCAAAGCCTTGACATTAGAAGCTGGCTCGGGCTCATCCGGGCCAACCTTCTTCTGCCAAGTCTTATTCAAGCACTCGGTAGGCCGGATCTTTGAGTAAAGGCGAGACTCAATGATAGTCAACTGTCGGGCAAACTCGGTGGGATCGATATCAAGGAACTTCAACTTTTTCATGTTCTTCGGGATGATAGATGGCGGGGCGGAATTGCTCTGGGTTGGAACAAGGCGCTTCACAGTTGTGTCTTGACCGCGAAGTCGCTGTTCAATGACAGCAAGGAGAGTAGGACAACCCGGAGTCTTAGTTGTGGCAATGGAGTCCTTGGTGAAAGCATGTACACGACGCAAGAGATCCATATTCACTTCATCATTAGGTTCCATCCAAAAGTGATCAAACCAACTTTTAAGGATATTGACCACCCGGAATCTGATAGGCTTCTGTTTGCGATCGACCCACATTTGCATGTCATCGGCATTCAAGCCGAAGGGAGGCTGAATGTTAAAGCGCTGCACAATCAACTCAAAAAGTTCGCAGGCAGTTGTAAAGGAGCGATAGGTAAGGAGGAAAGTGTTGTTGAAGGATGCATCAAGCTTGTCATGGCGTGTAAGGTGCTCGACCAAGCCCGAAAGTGTTCCACATTTGAGAATAGGAGAGTCACTCTTAGTATCGTAGAACACTTCGGCCTCGTGGTCCATCTTCAGGAACCACGGGGTCTCTTCAGGTTCTCTTACGGGCTCTTGCTGAACCGGCTCACGGGTGACGGTTGTAGGTGGCGCTTGTCCAAAGAACCTCTGAGCCTTGTCCATGTTGCGGCGCACCTTCCCAGGTTCCTTTCCGGGGGCATAGGAAGATGGGATGCCAATGGACTCTGAGGAGATATTGGCTTTGGATTCACTGCGACTGTGGCTAGTCTTGCTAAGCGACTCATCCTCCTCTTCTAGGCGACTATCGACTCGAGTAACGGACGATTGATCATCAGGGATTTGTTCAAGAAGCAGAGATAGCGAAAAGCCAATCTGAGAGACATAATTTTCCACTTGCTTAGCCACACTTCGCACAGCAGTGATTCGGTCATCAAGAGAATCACCTCGAAGCTCGGCCCACTCATCAGGAAGAGGAGCAGAGACTGCTTGGCAACTCAAGATGAAGTCGCCAATGCCATCATAAACCCGTTGCTTCTGCAAGCTGAAATCCACCAGTTGAGGATTCTGGAAGCTGGTGCCGAGGGGCACGAGGTTGATCGACTCCACAGTTGAGATCCACGGACGGAACTGCTCAACAACCTTGATTGCAGCGGCTGAGACAGCATCCGCGATCTCTGCATGCTCGCTCACGGTGACGATCTTTTGGTTCACTATCAATCGCTCTTCTAGTCGACGAATACAACCCACAAATGACCTCCTTTGGATGTCAATATGATCCAAAAGGGCAGAGTCCAGAGAAACAGACGGCTCAGTTCGTGAATCACCCCCCTCGGGGACGAGGAAAGATGTGGGGCCAGCTGCATTCAAAGAAACTCCATTGTTTTGCCAGCTGCCACCGCAAGAGCTACCACTGACAAAGCCAGGAACGATCCTGTTAATGTTATCCCCGCATTGCTGGCGGGCAACATCAACATAACCGTACACTCCTTGCATGACACCATCGGCTTCTTGAAGGCACTTGTTAACTGAATCAGAGCCAGGCCAGTCGGCGGCGGCGATATGTGATGATAGAACCAATTTCGAGAATTTTGACATCATGTCTCGGAAGTAGGGATAGAGCGCTTTGTTGGTGGAGATGATAGACGGATTGCCGGAATGATTGTCGGTAGTATCCGACCCAGCGGCCAAAAGCATGCGCAAGTGATCAGAAATATCCTCGGCCTTTCTTACATACTCTGAACGTTCGCCAGAAAGGAGAGTCTGACGGTAGCCTTCGACAGCAAAACGCATGTTATCAACCAACGTGGGCCAAGCCACAGGCGGGATAAAGCCGTCATCTACGAAGTGCAAGGGCGTGTTTGAAGAGATTGAAGGTCGGGAGATGATTTCGGCGACAGAAGTGTTGGCACTGGTGCCTCCGGCGCTGCTGAATGATGGCTGAGGGCTCTTGCTCATTTGCGAAGGTTTGAAATCCTTTGGCCCTGGAGGATATAATGAATCCATGGAGGTAGCAGGCGAGACCCCGTCCACCAAGGACTGACGACGACGAGAAATAGAGTCACGGGAAGTCAGCATCAGCGACTCTCCTTCTGCCTCCGATGCAGAGCCGTCGTACTCATCTTCGTCCCTCTCAAATCCACGCGCCATCAACTCAGGAGGCGGCCGTGTCTGGTCAGGGACGAAAAAGTTGGTTCGGTCTCGAGGGCCATTTTCGTTCGCACCGGTGGGGTTCTCAAATGGCAACTCCATAGTCGAGTATCCGGTCAGAGTGTTGAAATAAAAGAGACGGCCGTCCGGGGTCGCCTGCGGGATCCAAAATGCGGCCTCTTCTTGCTCCTGTTGCGCCGGAATACCTTCGATCGGTAGGATGGGCAGCGAGTCGCGCGGATTACCCTCCGAGTCCAGCTCGTCGTCTTCGTCATGTCCATTCCCGTAATCTTCTTCGGGTGCCGATTCTGCGCTCATGTCCTCCTCTTCTTGTGCCTGTAACATGTGCTCACCGAAGTCGTCCGCCTCTGAGATGATGGTACAGTAGTTACTGGGGAACCAACCACGGACATTATCAATGACTCCATCCCACCATCCAGTGTCCAGCTGGTTAAGGACCTGAATGATGTCGCCCCGGCGAAAGCTCAAACTTGTGTGATCGTCGGCATCGTAATCGTACATCGCCCGCACGAACAGTGCAGGCGGCTCAGGGCTGACCGCATATCCGGTGGCCATTTTCAGGGGGGATTGAGTGAAACGGTCGGATTGCTGCGAGATGCTCCCCCGACCGCGGAGTCGGGATGCAGCTGTGGGGGTGGTGGCCTGTTCGTCGGTGTACTCGAAAGCGGTCGCAAAGGCCCCGGCTTTAGCAGCCAGCGCAGAGTCCACGGCTAAGTCCACTGTACGGTATTCGTACATATGGAAGTCTCAACTGGAAGTCGAGTTGTACCGGTCGGAACCGTACTTTTGGCTTGTGTTTCTTCTCTCACTCACAGTGTCGGGAGGCTCATGACTGAAATGTGCTCTTGGGAGGGGGGGCGCGGGTGGGTAATTTTTGCAACCCACTTTCCGGGGGTTGGGGAGGAGATGACTGTGTCCGAGGGGCTCACGATGACAGTGCAACCACAATAAACCACCACAGATCTGCTTAAGCCATTAGAGAGAGTGTGTGAAGAAGCTCGTAATAAATCAGGAGTGGGAGAATCAGGGAGTGGAGGCGGGACGGATAAGGCGTCTACTCCGTGAGAGGAAGCAGCAAGTCTGTATGCAGCTGCGTGTCTGCCGCGGGTATTATTGGTATTATTGGTATTATTACCGTTTTCCACAAAGTACGGAATACGGCACCTCAATTCTACACTCTACATGTCTAATGCAATCTGACATCAATGTTGGCTTGAGAGCCACTTTGCTGCATATGTCATTCATATCCTCTTCCTCCCTCTCCGCCGTCTTATCTCGCCTTTATGGGTACACACAAGCAACGCAGTGCGTTACCAGCGTCTGAGCACCCAGCTCCATAACGGAGCACTCCATCGACCCGACAGGCTTTGGATCTACCGTGGCACGTTCACGCGCTATGGGCTCAAGCAAGCCCTAGGGGGGAAGAAATCCACTCTTGTATTGTTTTGATTACTATGTTACTATCATGCCCCTCAAATCGCCAACCGCAGCTCAAAATAACATGGTAGGACATGACTATCTCTACCAACAGTGTGACAGTCTCTTCGCCCCGTTGCAGTCACATCCCCCGTTTTTGAGGGGCAAAACGACAAGGGGCCAAGAAAAATTTAATAAAATTAAATAAAAAATAATTGAGATCTAAGACAACAGCAAAAAAGTAGAATTCTTCTCGTCATGCCATTCGCCCTATGATAAATGCCCCAGGGACCTTTGAGATCCAGACCGAAGCGTGTTACGCCGGCTTTCGTTTCGTGAAAAGTGCGCCCATGTGGATCCTGCGCGGCTCACGCTGATTTGACACCTAGGTGGGTTTCCGGAGCGTGAACTCTCAACTTCACTGTCCACCCGTGCAGTGACCCAATAGGAAACTCCTAGCTGCTCTTGCTGGCTGCTAAACGTTATGCATATGACGGAATTATCGAAGTGAGATGCTGGTTTTCCTTCATTGAACATTCGTCATCAGGGGAATTGCTGGTGATTGGGTACAAGGAGGATCAAAACAAATAATGGTCCGCCAGACTATCAGATTGGAAAGTCTGATAAGACTAAGAAAAAACAGTCAAGGCAAGGGGCCAAAAAGCTAAACCCCCCACGGTACCAATAATTGTTGACCAACAGGTGAATTACATTTACACAGCATAGATCCATTATACGTCCTCTAGGACAATATCCAACCAAGCTAGATAAGCAACCTCGGACTGCATGCTTTGCTACCCGCGTTCAGGAATAATATCACTTTCGGATGATATGATCAAACCAACCTCGTTCTCCGACACGAAAACTCAACGGTTGGCTTATCCCTGCACGACCCACTAAGCCACACCAAGCTACAGGGGAACCAACACGTTCCAGAACTATTCTAGAAGGTCGAGCCCATATTATATTGCTGTGGCTGTCATAGCTTCCGCCGATGTCCGAACCTCAAAGTCAACTTGTAATCGCGCTGACATCCCTATCACCTTCGTTGATGGTGGCTGCATAAACACAAATTAATCCGCGCGGCAACGGCACCTTGAGTGAAGTACAATTGGTTTTTGCTGACTTCCTGCAGTGACAAGATTTGGGCGTCATTCCACAACTTCGTTGAACCCCTGTCCCGTTGAGGTCTAGGAGAATATACCGCATGCAGGAAACCGGGGTCCGTAAGCCTCGGCCATATTGATTAAGCCACGTTGGTAATCAAGTCCGATTCACGCCATCACAATCTTGGGGCGTCCCATGTAAATCAGGGATCGCCTTGCCCATGGGGTTGATTGTCTATCGCCTCACTTTGTACCAGTGAACGGGTCAATCTTTGGAGTCATTTCACTAGTCTTGAAGATTGGGGTAAGGTACCTAGAACTTAAACACGATAGCTGAAACTAGACCCGGCATCATACTTCTGAGTGAGAACCTTGAAAACTTATCGAGCCGAATTGAGTTTTCTGTACAAGTCGGGGTTGGTTACAAGTTTCATGTTTCATACGCGATGTCGAAACTTTACTTCGACTAGGCACGAAACCCCATAAATTAATCACTCATACCATCTCTTTGCCGTCGGCAATATCTGCCATGTGGCAGGAGTATATTTCCTGTCAGTTTATTCAAAACAATTGGACATCGCTTCCAAGCTAGGCGTAATAAAGTGCGCCGAGAACCGGTCTGCTGGGTATTACTTTCAAGCCGTTCTATTCTCGAACAAGGATTATTCCAAGGTCAAGGCTGTCATCACCTGTAATTATATCATATCTGATCGGTATCCACGGGTAATTTAGGGATTCCTTGGTTCTCGTGCCTGGTGGAGCGGACGCGCTCCTTGTCCTCGGACCGCGATGTTTTCTGTCAATCGGAGTAGAAGGTTTTGCTTTGCTTTGGTTTTGTTGCGGGGTCATGGCGCGAACTGGCTTACTTCCATGTGAAGGAAAGGTTAATGGTTCCATGGAACGGTGGTGGTTTCATTTACTCTGGGTTTCTCTGACGTTGCCATCTTAAACTTGGGCAGGGGTATAATCCTGAATATTCAGACCGTTATTGTCAGCACGTTTTACCCATGAGCATGTTCATTGATCACGGTCTAGTTATCGGGTATAAACACTAGTTCTGCGCCATCGGACTATATGATGGCTTTTGCAGATGAGCACGTGGCCAGTGGAGCATTGTCATGCGTTAATTATGTCTCAATCACTTCTGATTCCTGGCAACAATTACGTGTGCACTCGGCTACCCATACATGAGACCAGCGGAGAAACAAATTTTGCATTTATTTCTCAATGCTAAACACTACTCCCCCCTACTTTGTGCCCCTCATTTACTTAAATTAATTCATTCGTAGTTAAAAAAAGCGATCTGGATCCATCCATGGATGCAGCCCTGGAAGTGGGCGGTGGGTCAAGCTGTCAAGTCCTCAAAGTCGAGTCCACTCTACAGTATCTCACCTACATGACATGGGTACTGGTACACACACAAGATTATCCACATAGTTTTTTGATGTTATTCATCTACATTCATGGATTTATAAGGGATCTAATGCATATAATGCCTAATGTGTATACTGAATGAACCAATTTGTTGCGGTTGAAGTTGGTCGTTGCCAGTTGCAACATATATATACGCGAACACTGTACACACTTACAACCAACAAACCCGGGAACTCAATGTCCAAAAGTTCCAAAAGTATAAAACTTGGTACTACAGATCAAAAACAGATTATTCATCATTATGAAAATATCCTAATAGACTTGGAATATTCAATTACTGAACGCGCAGATAGCAACACTAAAACCACTAAAGTAGCACTTCTACCAAGGCAGCTAAAAAGCTCCCATGGGTGCCAAGCAAACAAGCTTACCCATACCCACCAGAGCAACCTTCCTCAAGAGCTTACAGGACTTACATCAGCCAATTTGCCACCGCCAATCCCCGTTCCTTGCAGGAGCGGACGTTACGGAGTCGCAGGAACCTCTCCCTGTGGACGACATCAAAGCTTACCCAACCGGACGGATTTCCAGTACCAAATGGAGTCTCATCCTGCCGCTCGGGGCAGCGGCATCCAATCGCGGAGCACTGTCTAGCCCCTGTGTATCCAGATTGTCGGGCCTGACCGCTGATCCTGATCGTCACTTTCATTGCCCCCCCCCCCTTTCTCAGTTCCATAATCAAGCGACCAGCAATCCTTTCCCAGGGGAATGGAGACCCAGTGCTGTCGTTCGTGCACCCGTATGGAGACAGACCCAGTTGTCGCGATGAACATCAATCTTGCACAATGCCCCTCTTTCTATATATGTATAATGTACGGAGCCACTTTGTGGTGATCCCTCTCCTGCAGCTCCACTCACACGCGCGGAGGAAGAGCTTCCAAAAAGCCCGTTGCATTCGATAGATTATTCGTTAGACTGGGTGGAGTTACCGGATACGATGATATCGTCAGAAGCAAGTCTAGCTCCGCTCTTTGAACCTAGTCCAGGAAAATGGCTTGCCGGGTTCTCCGTTTCTTTTTCCAGGATTAGGGTGTTCCACCCCTTCGAGAAAATTCTGATGCACATCGACGCGGGGCATACGTTTAGTCTAAAGAAATGAAGTTCCAATAATTTAGATTATTGATTCCGGCCTACAAAGGTCCTCGCGATGGTGGGACAAGGGAGATTGATTATCTAAAGTATCCCCTGCATCAGGCTAGAATGCACTAAAATCAAACCCTGGAATTGGGGAATAATGACGGTGAGATAATGCCACGTACACGCACGGCAACTGCAGCTGCAGCCCTGCGTCGGTCTGGACTCAGAAGGTGATATCAGGGAACGTGATTTGATTTGGTTCGATCTGGCGGGAGTGAACCATGGACCGGGTGTTCTTCCCCGGAACCCTCATTTCCTTTCCAAGGTCTCAGGGGACAATCATTATATTGATATTGATTCAATTCCGAAATCAATGATGCTTCAATGCTGCTTAATATTGGGGTTGGCATTAGTTGATACTCCAGTTTGTACCCCAGTGTGGCAAATTAAAGAATAACGAACGGCGGTCAATTACTTCTAACGGAACTAACTGAATCCAGTAATTAACTGCCGGGAGGAAGCATCACAATAAGGGAATCCACACTGGCTTAGTATGTATGCATTTCACATTTCCTGATTGTGGGCCGAGTCCAGATCCTGGGACGGCACAGAATAACGAACGGTAAGCGGGTTGACGAAATCCTTCGGGAACGTTAAGTTAGCCAGCCACGAAGCTCCTAAACAGGACAAAGCCGGCTCAACTAG